TGCGGCGTATAAACACACCATTAATTTTCATAAAAGACATCGTTTATACATAAATAAAACACGGGCATTTTATTATTAATAAAGTTTTATCTATTTATTAATTCGCAATGATCGATGTAACATTACATTGACAACAAACACGACAGTATAGTTCTTAAGCAACATACCCCATAAATTTCTGCATTTAAATCATATACCAATTTATATATTTAAAATGCATACAAAAATATTTTCACGTTTTTATATTATCTCGCACAAGAAGGCGCAAATTAAAGAGTTAAATAAAGTACGATTCGCAACGACAGAGGCTCGGTGGAAATAAATGTTCGATGTAAACATAAGGTAATTATTTTCCATATAAACTTTCAACTTCTAAAGCATTACGAAATTTTTTCATGTACGCCCCTTTGGATGTGAATAGTTCTTTACACAGAGAAGTGATCTGAAAAAAATACCGACATAAATTTGTCTATTACACTGATACAACATATGAAATATTGAAATCGCCTCGCTGTTATTTCACACATTTATTATTGTTTATAAAGAATTACTACTATGGAGGATATCACTGTCTGTTTTAGATAACAACCATTTAGTCAAATTTTCTATATTGCTTTATCGTTCGCCCCAGTCATCTACTTGTAAATAATTTTCTTTACTTAGACTCTTATTTTAATATGCCTTTCTTCCCTTGCAATTGGAGAAAGAAATACGGTAGAGGCAGATGGAATCTTAGTGTTGTGGTATTTTACAAAATCACTTGAACAGCTATCGGTTACTTGAACTCTGTCGCTACACTATCCGTACGGGGCCGTGTGGGCCGTGTGGGCCGTGTGGTTCCGGCTTAAGAATAGGACCACCCCGTCTCTTCCCATGGGTGTCGTAAAAGGCGACTAAGGGATAAAAGTTGTTGTGATGCGCGCAGCGACCATACCCCGGAAGATCGAGTCTACTCACCGGATGGACGGGGGGGCTTGTCACGTGCTGGTGGACAAGTATAGTGTGGATCCCTCCCGCATAGCGCATGAAGTCTGATTTGGTGTGAAAGGCGACCCACCGCAGATATGCAATGGGCTTGGTGGACTCAGCGAATCAGCAAGGCAAGGTGGATGGCCAAGGGCGACGTTAGAAGGGTTATAGTAACGTCGGCTAGACACATCATCCAACCTCTCCTTCAGTCGTAGCGGTTTTCCGTTCCACTGAATCAAGGAGTGGAAGGACGAGTGCGTGCGCCTGCGTGTGCGCGAACGCTTGCGCACCTTAATATATCCTGCGTATCTGACCGCTTCCGTATAATGGACTCCGATGACGTAAAGTCCCGTAGCGATGGGAGGAAGTAGAAAGGTCTGGCTTGATGCAGGCTGGGCTTTGTCTGACTCCTGCATACGGGCGGTTCCAGGGGTGTGATTACATGCCGTGGTCGCTTTCGCACTGCAAATGGGGGCGACAGTGTGGATTCGGCAGCACCTGGGATGACAAAGCAGCCCTATTTAGGGAGGCACTGCTTTCCTCGCTCAGCCGGGGAGGGGGCTAGAAAAGGTGCCCTAAAAAAATGCTCGTTCCTACTTGAAAGGTGGTAGTAGCCACGGCTGCCATCGCATCAACCTAATTCGTGGTCGAAGTAACAGAAACAAATAAAAACGCCATAAAACCATCTGTTATGACATTTGGCGCGTGGAACGTGAGAACGCTAATTGATCGAGATGGCAACGCCTGCCCTGAACGTAAAACCGCCATAGTAGCTCGTGAACTTTATCGTTATGATGTGGATGTGGCTGCGCTCAGCGAGACCCATCTCCCTGATGAAGGAGAGCTGGTGGAAGATGGCGGCGGCTATACTTTTTTCTGGAAAGGTACCGCGTGTTCAGAACCTCGATTTTCAGGTGTAGGATTTGCCATCAAGAATCAATTAGTTAAGCGACTTGAGGAGTACCCTGTACATATTTCGGACCGCGTGACCACCTTGCGCCTTCACTTGGATAATGACAATTTCCTTAATATCATCAGTGTCTATGCTCCAACGCTGGACAAGTCTGATGATATCAAGGACAAATTCTATGATGAATTATCTCAATGCCTTGACAGCATAAGCTCCAGAGAGCAGGTCCTGTTGCTAGGAGATTTAAAATGCCAGGGTTGGTAGGGACTATGAGGCCTGGCCTGGAGTTCTGGGTAGACACGGAGTTGGCAAAATGAACAGTAATGGTCAGTTGCTACTCAGTTTTTGTGCTCAATACGAACTTGCAATAACGAACACAATGTTCAGACTTTCCGCCAAGCACAAGACTACGTGGATGCACCCAAGATCCAAGCACTGGCATTTGATCGATTATGCTGTCGTACGGCAAAGAGATATCAGTCAAGTCCAAATCACCCGCGTCATGCGCGGCGCACACTGCTGGACTGATCACCGACTCATTGTCACTAAAACTGCGACTCCGCCTCCGTAGACCACGTAGATTTGAAATAAGTAAGCCTGCGTCTTTGAACGTAGATAGGCTAAAAAATCGTGAGTTCAGGGAGATCTATGCTGAAGCCTTATCTGGAAATATGTCGCCAGTTAGTGAGATTGGTGATATCAGCTCTGCTTGGAGTGCGTTGTCTTCTCATCTCATGGAGACTGCCTCAGTTACTTTAGGTATAAAACACCGACGTAATGAAGACTGGTTCGATGAGAATGACGAAGCTCTCAGAGCGGGGTTGGATAAGCACCGAGATCTTCTGCGACAGCATAAGAGACGAGGAGGAAGCGTTGCGGTGCTCAAAGAGAGTGACACTCAATTGCGTAAGCTGTCTCGAAGATTAAAAGATAAGTGGTGGCAAGACAAAGCTTGTCATATCCAGTGGCTTGCTGACACAAACCAGCTTGGGGAGTTCTACACCGAGTTACGTAAACTGATTAAAACACCCTACCGAGTTAATGTGCCTTTGAGGTCTTCAAACGGAACGCACTTACTTACAAGCAAGGACGATGTACTGAAGCGTTGGGCCGAACATTTTAATATATTGCTCAACGTAGATCGATTAGCTGATCTTCAGAATATCAGTTTAATGCCTCAACTCCCCCTAGCCACTGAGCTGGACCAGCCTCTGTCGCGTGACGAGGTTGTGATTGCCATCAGACAGCAACAAAATCAACGGGCGGCTGGCATTGACCTTATACCAGGCGAGCTGCTTAAGTACGGCGGTGAGGAGTTGCACACTTTGGTGTGGGAACTATTTGCTCGTATGTGGGGAGGAGGAACGAGTCCCGCATGATTTCAAAGTGTCGCGCATACTTGCACTCTATAAGAACAAGGGTGACCGGTCCGACTGCGACTCCCACCGTGGTATTTCGCTTCTGACAGCCCCCGGAAAGGTCTTTGCAAGAGCCCTTTTAAACCGCCTGAAGCTTTTGTCGGAAAAGATTTTGCCTGAAACCCAGTTTGGCTTCCGGCCTGACCGAGGCACCTGTGAAGCTATCTTCTCTGTGCGCCAACTCCAAGAAAAAAGTAGAGAACAGGGACGTCAGCTATATCTCTGCTTTGTGGACTTAGAGAAAGCTTTCGACAGTGTGCCTCGTGAAGCTCTCTGGATGGTGCTAGGAAGGCTGGGGTGTACGGAAAAGTTTGTGAGGCTTCTGAGACTTCTGCATGACGATATGCAGTGCTGCGTCTCCGTAGACGGTGAACAGTCAGATTTTTTCCCCGTTACCTGTGGAGTGAAACAAGGGTGTGTCTTAGCGCCCACACTGTTTGCCCTTTATTTTGCAGTAGTAGTCAAAGAGGTCTTACAAACGGTTTCCGAAGGAGTTCGCATCCGCTTCCGAACAGATGGCAGTCTTTTCAACCTGGCCAGACTTAAGGCGCGCACCAAAGTCTCGTATGCATTAATTACAGAGATTATGTATGCTGATGACTTATGCTTTTTTAGCAGAATCTCCACAAGGCCTGCAAAAGCTGATGTCTGTCTTCCACCAAGCATGCTGTAAGTTTGGTCTGAAGATTAGTGTCAAAAAGACGGAGGTGATGTCCTTGGACACACATGGTCGTGAGACACTGACCATTAAGCTTGGTGAGGATGTGCTGAACCAGGTCGATAAATTTCGATATCTGGGTAGCACTATAAAATCTAACTGCGACCTTGACGCTGAAATCAACAGCAGGATCAGTGCTGCAGCTGCTGCATTTGGTAGGCTGCGATCTAAGGTCTTCTGCTCGCACGACCTTAAGCTGGCTACAAAAATCTCGGTGTACAAGGCGATTGTGCTGCCAAGCCTCTTATATTCCTCCGAGACATGGTGTGTGTATCGCCACCACATTCGTACTCTGGATCGGTTCCACCTTAAATGCCTTCGTACCATCATGAAGATCAGATGGTCCAACCGGGTGCGTAATACTGAAGTTTTGCGACGAGCCAATGTCGGTGGCATTGAGGCATATTTAATACGTCGGCAGCTTCGATGGTGTGGTCATGTGTCACGTATGGCGGAGGAACGAGTGGCGAAACGCATCTTTTACTCTGAACTAGAGGAGGGGAAGCGGAAACATGGCGGTCAACTTCTCAGATACAAAGATGTTCAGAAACGACATATGAAGAGATGCAACATAGAGCCATCCAAGTGGGAGGTTTTGGCAGCGCAGCGTACGGAGTGGCGCGGAATTGTGCAGAGGCGTATCCGCGAGTTTGAAGATCAGCGTAAAGCTGAACTCGACGCTAAGCGCGATGACCTAAAGGCCCGTCCAACCGCCGCCATTAATTATAACTATGTAGGCGGCGTACTCACGTGCCCTCACTGTGCAAGAGAGTTTGCCGCCAAGATTGGCTATATAAGCCATTTTCGGGCGCATCAGCGTCAAATCAATTAGGAGTTGAAGAGGTCGCCATGGCCGAAATCGGTCGGAATAATCAAAAATCAATATCCGTACGGGGAATATGTTCTTACAATGGTGACATTAGCTCTATTTTTGTAAGTTATCAGCGCGTTTTTTAAACGAATACTGCCTCGGGTAGAGTTATCATTCCGCCGCGCGCGCCTCGGCCAGTACACCACGCGCCTGTTCCAACGCTTTCCTGCAAATAAAAAACAAGATTTTTTTAGCGGATGAGATTAGTTACAAAATTCAGAGACTGACTTCCTGTCGCGATAGCTCAGTGTACGGGTGTCTCCTTCCAATTCAATGGTCGTGAACCAAGTTCAAATCCCGATGCCTACAAATGACATACATAGCCTTTTACTCTACTTGATTTTAGCCTTTAAAAGCTTTTAAATCTCAAATGCGTTCTTTGCGCATGTACCATCGAGTGCAAATTAACAAAACGTCTAATTATTTTCACGAAACAAAATGTTATTCCCGACTGCACTCTAAGAAAAATTTAACTGGAAACTAATTGAACTGGGGCAAGAACGAGAGGGCAATATACTCCTGCACATGCCGCCTCTATCCTCCCAGAAACATATAGCTTTAAAAGGTGCTTTGGAGATTTGCTTTATTTATATGTTTAGAAAAATCAATGAGTAAATCAAATAAAATCACGCAAAAACGATTAAGTGCAATAGTAGGTAAGGATTAGACAAATAAATAATTTTATATTCATTATAAAAAAACTAAATTTGAACCAAAACACAAAAAGAAAATGTGAAAGTGTTTGAAATAGTGTTTTGCAGCCGACGGGGTGTAGGCGCGCCCAGCCGACGGTGTACAGGCATGTTTAGCTGACAGAGTACAATCGCGTGCAGCCGAACGTGTACTGGCGCGTACAGCCGACGGGGTACAGGCGCGTTCAGCCGGCGGTTGGCACGTACAGGTGCAGCGGGTTGTCGGAGTGCAGCCGCGAGAGCGCGAGCGCGGCGAGACGGGCGAGCCTCTTGAGCGCGCCCGCGCGGAGTGCCCCCGCCCGGGGCAGCGTGTCGGCGAGAGCGGCCGCCGCCGCCGCCGCCTGCGGGCCGCCCGCCGCCCCGGCAGCGCAGCACAGCGTCTCTGCGACATAGATTTGTCTGTTAGCGAGGCGGCGCAGCACAGCGTCTCTGTGGCACAGACTTGTCAGTTAGCGAGGCGGCGCAGCGTCTCTGCGGCACAGACTTGTTAGTCAGCAGTGGGTCGTTAGAGGTTTTTTAACCGACTTCGAAAGGAGCTGGTTCTCAATTCAACTGATCTTGTTTAATGTTTGTTACCTCAGAACTTTTGACCCAGTGCACCGATTTTTATGATTCTTTTTTTTTATTTGAAAACTTGTAGTGCTTCCCATGCGGTCCCATATTAATTTCATTGGTATTGGATCTTGGGTTGTGGAGATACTTGGGGAACTCCTGAAAATCAATTATAAAATGGATACAGAACGAGATATTCGAATTCGGTTTTGTTTTTCGTTAGTAAAAAAAAATGGTTATCGTCAACTTAACGTTAACGTTGATCCACGGTCGTCGACTAGTTGATCAATTAGTTAAATTCGTCAACTAGTTAAGTTAGTGATACTTATGTCAATTTACATGAACGAACGGATTTACGTACCGATGAGCGAGAGGACTATGCTGTCCGCGTTGAGAGTGGCCGGCGGCGAGGAGAGCGAGAGGGCGGCGCGCAGCAGCCTCACGCCGGCGCCGAGGCAGCGCCGCCAGAAAGCGTTGCCCGCCCCTTCCAGCACGCTGTATCGGGGCGAAGCGTTGCTTTCAACCGACTTCGATAAAGGGGGAGGCTCCTTCGTCTACCCCCTAGAACTCCGTCGCTTGCGAACCGATTTTAAAAATTCTCCGGAGATAAATCAGGTACAAAGTAAAGTAACAGGCCATTGCTGGGCAACGGCCTCCTCTGTAGGGGGGTATTACGGCGTAGTCCACCACGCGACCCTACTGCGGATTGGCCAATTTCATATATCTTCGAAATATTTTTTTTTGTTAATAGTTCAAAGATATGCAGATTTCCTCATCATGTTTTCCTTCACGGCTGAGCATGTGATAGGTTGGGATTTGAAATTAAAAAATTCATTAGTGTCTGCACCGCTAATCGAACTCAGGTTGTTCGAGTTTATTAAATTAAAGGCCACCCAGACAATGAGCCAAATCGGCAAGACGTGATAAAGTTACTCTTCAAAAACTTTTGATATTGGAAGTTGGTTCTTGTTTTCGTGAATAAAAGTGTATTAGATTTAACATAAGTACGTGATGAACGATATCACTTTTAATTTTATGTGTAAGTGGGTGGTAACCACTTGATTCAAAGGCGGCATAAGCGTTTGCAACCACCCTACTGGTGTTGCATTACAAATTGCAAATATCCATGTGGTCCTACGGTGTTAGGGCCACGCAATACAATACTGTGCACGAATAGGCGGGTCCGTCCGGGTAAGTACCACGACCTCACAGAAGACCGACGTAAAGTACAAGTGTTCTTTGTAGTTACGCACTTCTGCGTTTCGTCTGGTGAGTGAGGTAGCCGGGGCCCACTTTATTTAAAGGCGGCAACGCATTCGCAACCCAACGGGCGTCGGGAATGTCCACAGGCGGCGGTTATCACCTAACACCAGGCGACACACGAATAAGAAGAAAATATGCCGCCGCCGTTGTGAAGCTGTTCGCCCTCCCGGCCACGGAGACTCACGCGGGCGGCAGCGCGGGCAGGAACACGTCCGCCTGCAGCGCGGCGGCGAGGCGCTGGCCGGCGGCGGCGGCGAGGCGGCGCAGCGGCGCCCCGCCGGCGGCAGGCAGCGCCGCGCTGCGCTCCAGCACGCGCCGCAGCCGCACGCACGCGCGCACGCACACCGGGTCCCACGCGTGCTCCACCAGCTCTAAGGGGGGGGGGGGGGCGTCGAGGGGGGCGTGATGGCGGAGGGGCTTTGACCCTCGAACCAGCGCCGCATCAATAATGCTGAGACGGTCCTTTACCGTCACTGCATATCATTTTATGTTACTTTATTTTTCAGTTTATTATGTTGTTCTTGTTATTTTTAAAGTTCAAACGTTGTAACCGAATGTAGCATGTGTACAGATCGAGTGTCGGGTTAAATGTATCTCACTGGGTCGACCTGCTTTTAAGATCGCCCCGCGTGGGCTACTCTCACGATTATGAGAGCTGCTCCCCTGCCTTGTCACGGCTCAGGAGCCGTGGCTTGCGAATGGGGTAGGGGGCACAGTTATCCGCACCAAAGTAAAATGCACAGAGGCGGTGTGATGATAGTCTGCATGGACAATTCCCCTATGATAATACAAGCAACATACTGTTGTTTCTGGGTCGAACCCAATGATTTTATATACAAACACGAGCTAGATATGACACTAGCGCACATTGGCGAAATTGAGGCAATCAAGTCTCGCCAATTGGTTATTGGTGTAATTAGGTTGCAACTCTGTGGACTGCTATCTCTTTCCGTATCATACGTTCTATATCATCTATCACATTCACTCATATATGTCATGTAAATATGTAAAGCGGAACAATTTTTAAACGACACGCAGTTTGTACACCTTTATTAAAACATCACTGACTACAACGCACAAAAGCAACGAATGATGAAATATGTATGGAGAAATCATTCATACACTCACTCATTCATCAAGACGTTAGACTACGGCAATACAAGCAGCAGACGGTACATTCCGGGCCGTACCTGTGACCTTGGGCAGCACGACCTTGTTGACGATGGTGGGCACGAGGAAGAGGTCCGGGTCGTCGCGCAGCGCCTCCTCGCTGAGCGGCGCGGCCTCTTCGGCCTCGTCGGAGGCGGACTCTTCCGAGTCGCTGGACTGCCTCTCAGCGCGGACGCCGTACATCATCAGGCATCTGCGGGACCGCGAAAACTTGCTGTCGGTTGTTATAACGGCCCTATCCTGTTTCCGTTGCGTCTCTTCTTCTTTTATGTTTGTTAAATCGGAACGCCGTCGTTAATGAACGGATTTTAACGATTATTTTTGCATTGGGTTCGGTTTAGCTGAGTTTATACATCAGAAATTTAGAAATTTAAATTGTTTATAATACTAATCTTTGCACTTGAGATTGAACATTAAAATATGTAGAAAAAGTGCGAAAAGATTGTCGCCGTTGTGGGAATCGAACCCACGTCTTCGGCATTCGCGGCCTGACGCTCTAGCCACTGAGCTAAACGGCTGATTGCCACACCGACGAAAATCTTAACGCATTCTTCTACATTGTTTTCTTAACATTTGAAGCAATGCTTGGCGCCATCTATTGTTATATCCTTTCCAGCATACAAACAATTTCGAATATAAAATAAAAAATGTAGAAAAATATGTTGAACATATTTTAATGTTCAATCTTAAGTGCAAAGATTAGCACTATAAACAATTTAAATTTCTAAAAAAGCAATGGCGACATCTCTCGTTCGAATTATCGTTGTAAAACGATAGAACGTTTAGCTCAGTGGCTAGAGCGTCAGGCCGCGAATGCCGAAGACGTGGGTTCGATTCCCACAACGGCGACAATCTTTTCGCACTTTTTCTACATATTTTAAGGATAAGAAATTTATTTAAAATTTACAAAGATTTTTATTTGAAGTTTTTTTTTGTGTGACAAGATGCCAAACGAGCAGACGGGTCACCTGATGTTAAGTGAATAACCGCCGCCCATGGACATCTGCTACACCCGAGGGTTCCAGATGCGATGACAATCTTTTGTAGATTGGGCTCCGGCCACCTCACTCACCAGACGAAACGCTAAAGTATTATAGTCTTCTGTGAGGTCGTGGTACTTACCCGGACGGGCCTGCCCATTCGTGCAACAGCCGAGGCTGCTGCGTGGCCCTACCACCGTTAAATGCCGTACTTCACAACTATTATGATACGAATAACAACGGAGCTACGAAATATATAAATAATGAAAATAAATTAAATGAATGGTTAATAAGCATTGGACGAAGTGGAGATACATAAACTACCCTTCTCGGTGACAGGCATGGGGCTTATATGTTAAGAAATATTGAGTGAATATTAATGCTCACTTGTACCAATCCATTTTCTCGTAATCCTCGTTATCTTCGTCGGCCAGCGGGTTCCATAGTATCAACTGCGATTGAAAAAAAATATCACTTAGCAATGTTGTTACATGAGAGTTATTATATTTGTAAATTTTGTTTATTCATTTCAAAAAGGCAGCGGCCGAGATAGTTCCCAATTTGTTGCCCACAAGTGGGATAGTCAAGCATTTTCAATAGGATAACTGTGATCTTCGGTGAATATTTCCACACCTACAGTGCCTATAGTAATGCCTGTTGAAGGCCCTTTTGCTTCCCTTAGACTACCTATTATGTTTACCGCTGAGAGTGCTGTGTGAAATGGTTCAAATAACCACCTGCTGCTGTTCAACGCAGTGTAGGGCGACAAATTACCAATCGCCATCGACACAACTTTAATAGTCTAAATTTAACTCTATACTACGCACGACAAAAATGATGTAGTTCTAAATTTATTGATTTGTCTAAAATGGTTTAGGAATCTTTAAGAGAGGCCTTTTGCTACTTTAAAGACCGGCAACGCTTTTGAAACGGTCCTGGTGTTGCGGATAACAATGGCGACACTGATACAGCAGCTTTCACCATGAAAATAGACCCCAGGCTACAAAAAGCTACGTCGAGTCGTATCGACGTGGAATCGTAGAGATATATCTTCGTAGCTGTTAAGTACGTAGAGACTTAGCAACGAGCAAAAATAACTATTTCACCATGAAAACAGATCCAGACTACAAAACGTTAATTCGAGTCAAGTGACTCAGTAACGTCCTAGCGAGGACGAATCGTAGACAAAAAGTACCTTAGCGTTTAGATCGTAAATTTAGCGTCGAAGAACAATAACAGTTTCACTCGACAGTTTTAATCGACTTAACCTAGCAGTTACGTAGAGCAGTAGAGAAAAAGTACTAGCGGACTTAGCGTCGAACTACAATATGAAAATAATATTTTCAATTGAAAAAAAAAAAAAAACCAAAGCTACAAAACGCTACACATCGAGCCGTATCAACATATCGTAAAAGTAGAGTAGAAGAGAAATAAATTCGAAGCGGTTTAGAGCGCAGAGTGTTAGCGTTGAACTATTTCTCCATGAAAGAGCCAGACTACAAAACTCTACATCCGTCCGTAGAGTCGTAGCACGTAAGACGAGCTGACGTAGACACCGTCGTAGACGGTAGGACGCCGTAGCGTACCTCGTGGCGCACGTAGGGCGCGAGCAGGCGCGGCAGGCAGTCGGCCACGTAGGCGTCGGCGTAGAGCGCGGGCTCCTGGCGGCGCCAGCGCGCCATGCGGGCGCACACGCCGCGCACGCCGCGCCACGCGGGCAGCGCGTCCGCGAACACGCCGGCCGCGAGCTGCCGGATCGCCTCTGCGGCCATAACAATACACAGAACAATTGCTATAAGGCACGTACTCACCGTAATCTGTAATCCGCAATAAGCGTAGAGATGGAAAAATATAATATAACGTCGTACAAGAGCCGTGATAGCTAATTGTCTGGGCGTTCGCATTTCATTTAATATACTCGAGCAAGTTGAGATCAGTCCCTTGTTCTGGCGTTAAATTGTTAACTTTAATTGCTTACCTGTGGTGAAAATTAATATCCTGAGGAAACGAGTGTATTTTAAAGAGTACATAAAAAATTTTTGGAATTATTAGATGAATGAATTTTAAACTAAATTTTTGACAGGATCAACCCAGTTAAGGTTAGCATAGAGCTGGCGCCTGACTCGTGCTCACAGATTTTTTTTATTACCGGATAAGAAAGCTCATAAAAATCCTGGATAATGTACCGACATCGCGCACGAAATGTTAATCTAATACCAGCATGCATGGCAGCGTATTAAGCTATAACGTGTCAAGCTCCATAACTAGCTTTTTATGGACAATCCGTAATCTTCAGTGTATTGGCCTCGTATACGTAGTGGCTATCTAGAGTCTAAATAGAAGCGTCTAAAAGGCAGCCTTTTGCGCGTAGTGCTCATCCATTGCGACAAAGAGGCAGCCCTAGCGCGTACCGGCCTCCTGCGCGAAGTGCTGCCGCTCGGCGGGCGGCAGCTCGTCGTCGCTGGAGTCGCCGTCGCGGTGCGCGGGGGGCGCCCCCGCCGCGGCTGCGGCCGCCTCGCGGCGCAGCCGGCGCGCGCGCCTCCGCCCCTCGCGCTCCGCCGCGCGACGCGTCTTCTCCTCGCTCTCCGCCGGCTTGGCGGCGCCCGGCCTGGCTGCGGTGCGCACACAATACATTGCTTTGTCAAAAGACATCAACGAGTGCTATGAAAAAATCGGTTTGTTTTATTCGTTTATACTACGGAATATTATGCTATACTTTTCCAATTTTATTGATAATATTTGTTGCATCAACAAAAACTAACTTCTAAATCATCATTCATTAGATTAATGTTATTTTTTTTTATTTTGAATTGATAAATTGTTAAAGTTAATATGCAGAAGTGCATTATGTTAACTAATATACCTAGTCCACGCGGCACGGTGTCAAGAGCTCTAAGAGCTATATTTCCTCAATGAATAGTGGGAAATTACTGATCTACGACATACATCAAGTATCTATATCAGCTTTTGACTAGAAACCGGAAAGTAGTCGATGAAAACCAACGTAAAAAGCGTACGCACCAGCCAGGGCCAGCACGTCCTGCGCCTGGTCCCGCACATCTGCCCGTCGCCGCTCCACCAAGAACTCGCAGCGGCGCCGGTGCATCGCCAGAGCCCGGGCCTCCAACGCTTCCAGTTGTGGCATCTGGACGTTATATGTCAATTTATTTTCATTGGCAGCAGCTAACGTCTGCTAGGAATGTTTTTTTTATGAATTAAGCTGGCAAGCGAGCTAACGGTTCACCTAATGTTAAGTGATAACCACCGCCTATGGACATTTGCAACACCCGTTGTAGGCTCCTCGCTCACCAGACGAACGAAAACACAGAAGACGAAACACTTCATGCCGGTCTTCTGTGAGGTCGTGATACTTTACTTACCCAGTCGGTCCTGCCCGCGCAACAGCTTCGGCTGTTGTGTGGCCCTACCACAGTTGAGCGTATAATTAGAAAAAAGAAGAGGCGCGCCACCTTCTCGTCCAGGCACTCGACGAGGTCGGTGAGGTATCCGCGCGCGGCCTGCGCCCTCCTGTAGGCGGCGTCCAGACGGGCGCGCCGCACCCCCCTCGCCTCTCGCTCGCGCACGCACCGCACCAGCCGGTCGCGGCACTCGTCGCGCTGCTGCTGCGTGCACGCGCGCTCGCCCCTCAGCTCGTCCACCCTGCGGACGGAACGCCGTTAGGGGAGTTCCATTGATCACCCCCCTACGCACCTCGATGACGCTAACACCCTAACCGCTGCCCTACCGTCCATTGCCACCGGTACGTTCCGTAGGAGATCCAGGAGTCCCTCCAAGCGTACAGTAGGTTAAAGTTAAACGTGGGTACGAGCGCCACATAAAACTGTCATGTTAGAAATGACAAGGACAAAAAAAAAAAGAATATTTTTTTATTTATTTCGAAGATATGTGAAGTCGGGCAACCCATGGTGGACTCTGCCCTATAACCACTGTAGAGAGGAGACCTTTGCCCAGCAGTGGCATACTTATTTATATATCGACATAATTATACAGGCTGTCGCTTTACTTTACTCCTACTTTTAGTCCATACCTGGCAATGAACCCCGAACAACCAATTTGGGCACTAGTTGCTATAATAATAGTCTGTTTTGAAGACTCTGCAGCGCTGCTACCAAGGTTTTTCCTTCGGCGCCAGGGGTCGTGGGTTCGATCCCCACACGAAACAACCATTAGTGTGACCCATAGACAGTTGTTTCGGATCTGAATGGTAATCCATGTGAAAGTTGTGTATGACAAAAATACTTTCTTACAACACAGGATAATGTTATCCAACAGTAAGGGGGCAATGTTTCCAAAGGGAAGACTACAATAGATCTACTAGATTGCAGTGGTTGTTGGGTCTGACCCTTCCTCACAAAATACAAACACAGTCTGTACCGCGTCTTGAGTGCATCGAGGAGCTCCTGGGCCGAGGAGGGCGGAGGCCTGCCGGGGGCGATCAGCGAGCGAAGGTGCGACGGAGGCTCCGTGAGGCGGGGCTGCGGCGGCGCCACTGCGAACGGATTCAGCTCCACGTTGCCCTCTCCTGAAACAACACATAGGTCAACTCATGTGTACTGATAATAAATATTTTTAGGCTTAATACAAATAGTAAGTTCTTACATTACTTTTGGTTACCCTCTGATTTAAAAAATATTTTTTTACTTCATAATAGGATTAGAAGAACACTACTAGTTTTGTGGTAACATCATATCATTTGTAGCATTGATTAGTCATATTCTAATTATAATTACTTATTTATTTATTGTATTACAATATTATTCTGTACTGTAGATTAATATCCTTACTAATATTATAAAAGCGAAAGTTTGTATGTATGGATGGACGTTTGTTACTCTTTCACGCTAATACTACTGAATGGATTTTACTGAAACTTTACAATAATATAGCTTATTCATCAGAATAGGACATAAGCTATAATTTGTATACATATTTTTATGTATATCTGTCTTTCTGTCCGAATGTTACACCTAATCTACAATAACAAACAGAATTGGCATATAACTTGTTGTACTTGTAAGTTTGTGAGTTTTATCATCAGCCATTAGGTTGGTTGGTAGAAATTACCTAACAATGTACATACATACATTAATGCTTATATATGTAGAATTAAGATAAATTTTGAGCAATACGTGGACCTACCGGACACATCTGTGATAGCGGCCATCGCCTTCTGCATTTGCTGCTCTTCCCATTCTTCTGATTCACTGTCAAGCTCCTCTTCCGATGCGGCAGCAGCTGTACCACCTAGTTTAACATGTACAGAAATAAAATCGGTATTATTTATCTATGTATAATCGCGTATAACCAAGGAATAATTAAGAATAACGTTTATAGATCTAAACTAATGGGCCCGGGGCGCTTTCCGCTGTGTGAATGCCTAAACATACATGCACTTTCTTTATTGCATTTTTTAATCAATTAGATTCGTAACCCATTTGTGATAATGAATACTGGATTAGATATAATAATACTATAGCCTATGTATCTGCTTATCTCTTTTTGATACAGCGTGTCTTTACAATCGCGACAATAAATGAACACACGTCTAACGCTATTTGCCAATAATCATAAATAATAAATAAATATTAACGTTAAAAAAATCATAATTTAAAAATAAATTTTTAAACAAACTAATTAAGTAAAAAAAGAAACAAAATTTGTAACATCCTATACAACTACAACTGACTGATTCATATATTCAGCGACTTTTTCATTCGTTGCCACAGCGTCACATTATAAGCCTCTCCTTCTAAGACTATGTTTTGTCTCTTTCAAATTCATTCAACTCATTTTCTATCCTTTGTCCATTAACAACCCACTGCTAATTTAAGTTCATTCTCCCATCTTTTGCATTGTCTACCTCAATTTCGTTTCACATTTCTGGGGTACCATACAGTCAATATTTTGCTCCATTTATGTTGAGGACTGTATAGCATATGACTTGTCCATCTCCACTTCATTTGTTCTATCTTACTGAGAATATCTGTCACACCTCTTATCTATGTGTTTCTGTGCATATCTATATTTCTAATATGCAGCATACAAGAAGTATGCTGCATATTAGAAATATGCAGCATACTTCTTGTATCCATGGCTCTTTGGCAGTGTTTTAGCATGTTCCTATGCTGTTTAGAAAGTGCCAAAGTTTCGGAATCATATGTAAGGCAGGGGACAATACAGGTGTTAATGACCCAACTGAGGATGTAACATTACATGCCATATTTATTTATTTATATGACCAATGAAACATGGAAGTATAAAACTTCCACTTCACACCAGATTTCTGTGAGGCTGTGGTACTTACCGGGACAAACCTGCCTATTTGTATGATCATCCAAATGTTAATGATGTAATATTTCAAGATAAATATAAATTTTAATTTTTTAATTTCTCAATGTTTTTCAAAGTGAAGTTATATTTTAATAAAAATTATCCCACAGTGAGTTTGAAAGCCTGAAATTGTTATTCTGGCCATAAGATTGTTTATAGTTATTATAGATATAAAAATACATATAACAAAAGCAATTGTGATGAAAGGTAAAGGCTATTTGTTGATTTGATTATTAAGAAATTAGAGACAAAATTAGGGACAGTTGTCATCTAAGCAGACCAATAACAACTACTCCAAGTGAGGTCACTATGTTGGTCAAAAGTAAACATGAACGACATTTAACTGTACCAGTTACGGAATTAGGGAAATCTAGGTATTTTAATATTATAAAATTTATCAGTGTATTTAAAGTAAACGGCAGACTTCTTGATACAGGCCTAAAGCAGTGCCTAGGCCAGATGTAAAGCAGTGTCAAAAAGAACATTATCATTGGAAAGTGTAGGTACCCATGTATCGTTTAGTGCCTAGGCAAATTGTGACACATGTGTGGCGCATAGACAGATGACGCATATATATAGCGCAGCGCCGTTGTAATGGAGATGATATTGAAATTACTCAAAGACGAAGATTATTCGAAAAAAAACTTGGACATCGAGGGAAATTTTGGGGACACTCGTCAGGAACTCGCCAGACAATGGCGGAGTCGCCAAACACTCATTCGCAGAGACGCAATATACGGAGTTAACGAGTAAACATAATGTGGGATATTTGGACAATCGAGGCATAATCGGGACACTCAACGGACACTGGCAAGAACATTGCGGAGACGAATTGGAGTTGCGATATACGAGTTACCAAGTAAACGTCTTTTGATATAGAAAATCTTTGTAATAGAGATAGGGAGTCGTAATATGGGTACAATACCAACAAAATATATGAACCCTAAAGAATACACGAATTGATTTGATTTTTACTGCAAACTAACAGGATCTCTCGTGTTTGCAAAAAGATAGACTTACGCTTAGGCTTGTCGCTGGGTAATTCCAGGCCACGGACCTGTATCCTGCCGTCTTCGTCATCGTCGTCGTCGCCGGAGCCATCGTCGCGTATCAACCGCGAGCCGGACACTGCCTCCGCCTGTATAGGTACGAAGTCGCCGAGCTCGCGAGCCTGCAAACCGAGTTATATCATATTGAGACATACGCACCAATATCCGATCGAATAGTGTCTTAATATGATTAGAGATAACTAAAAACCAACAAAAGTACATTAATCACACATCGAAATCGAATCGCGGGCACCGCAAGGACCATCCAGGGGTCCACGCTTTTAATATGCCACCACTTGGCTTCTGTCTTCGTGTTGTTTTGCTGGACGAGTCGATTACGAACGAGAAATCGCAGTGTTACGCAGGGCGATATCGACATCGGCGTCGGTGACGGCCACCCCTAGTCCCTCACCTCTCATACCTGCTGTCGAGTCTTGCGCGCTGCGTGGATGAGCGCCGCGTCGGGGATTCGCCCCGGCTGAGCAAGCGCCGCGCGCACCGACTCGGCGCGGTACCGATGGAACCCCCTGGAATCCTCATCCCCCTCTTCGGTCTCGTCATCGGAGACATCACCGGCCCCGTCAGCGGCCAGCGCCTCCCGGCCGGCCAGTATTAGACCCTCGAGAGTCACCTTCTTCTTCGGCCGCTCATTCTTCTCCTCGGTCGTTCCTTCAGCACTAGGTGTCTCCTGGAGGACATTTCAAATGTCACTTTCTTTTTACACATGAGCAGATAAAAAGTTACATGGAATGTGTGCTTGTGTGTGTGCTAACAAAAAGTGAATCCACACTTTGTATATTTACATTACCTCTGGTATATCATTCTCATATTTGATATCATCACCATCGGGGTTGCGCCGTTTTTCTTTCTCCCTTCGCTTAGCAAGTCTCTTACTTTGAGATGATTTCTTTACTTTAAAAACTTCACCATCATCCTCTGTCAAGGAATAATTAATTTTAGTTCACATAAATCATCAAAACAAAAATGAAGTCTTTAACTCACAGGAATATCATCAAAAATATGCTTAAAAACACAGTGGTTTTAATCCTGAAACAGAAATCACTCTAAGTTGAGTTTAATAATATAAATCACTATACATTTACAATTATCATTTCAACAAATATTAATATTTTCGGAAAAGTTTGTTTCTATACCAAATCCTATAACTAAATACTATATGTCAAATGTTAATTCCCTTACTTACTCCTTAATTTTATGCAATATGTCTATTTTAAATGAATTCATTTCAAACCTGCTGCTTAAAAGACTTCATAGTATACTAAGAATATAACCTAAAAACTAAACAAAATTTTTGATAACTTGAAAATTTTCGTATACCTATTAAGTATTTATGAACTGAACAAATAAGAGTAAGTGACATGATGGAAACTAGAGGAAGAGAAATGTAATTTTTATATAACACTTTATTTGCTAAGAAAATTAAGATAATTCCCATATAAAAACTATTTGTTGATATACAACAACTTATGAAAATTGCATATGACAAATTTGAATTACTAACCTTCATCAGCAAAACTTAGTAACGGGGTATTTTTAATAGGTTTATTTTCTTTCTTCTGACTGATAATTGGCGGCGGCGGTGGCTCTGGCTCCCCGTCATCGTCATCATCCGCGCAAAAAACACGTCTTTGAATTTTCTTTGGTTTTCGAAATAATGACATTATGTCTTGAGTAATATGTACTTTATAATGATATAAAGAAACAATTCACAAGTTAAAATTTAATTCATATCTTTTTATGATTAACGAACCGGAGACCCGAGACCGCTTAGCTTCAAGACTTCAACATATTTTTTGACTTAACGCAAAAGTGTCGATGTATAAAAATATCGATTTTTTTCCGTACCCTTTTCGATATATATCATCGATATTTTTTTTTATATTATATATACATTCAATATTAATTTTAGACTGTAGATACTCTAAACCTAAACCTATGTTCAGCAGTGGAGTCAAATAGGCTGAAATGATGATGATGATGATGAGATTTTGACTCTTTGCATGACGCAAAAACTAACTTTAGAAACTCTTTTCAACTATTTTCTTCATGTCTATTCTATTTTACGAATATTGGAAGTTTTTTTTTGTGTTGGATGAGCCACTGTTGGCCTTAGAGGCCTTCACAGTTCCGACGGACTTGAGGTGGCCTGACGCCAGGGTGCCTAGCCTGAAACTCGGTTTTGGATAGTTTGAAAATACGTATATAAATAATCTTGCGAAAAATGTCAATATATCGATATATATGCTCGATTACTATCGATATTAAATGTCAATAATATATATCGATATATTTTTTACGTGCCCATCTCTACTTATCGCTTTAGGGAGGTGTCGAAAAATATATCGATATATCGATTGATTCTATATAATTAGATAACGATATTTTCAGCCGATATATTTGGATCAAACACATCGATACAAAATATTCAATGTCAAAAATGGTATCGAAAACCATATTATTCAAACTAGAATCCAGCATAGAGTCCGTAGGTGTCAATTATTTAATACTCGACAGACATTTTCAGGGTTCCGTACCCTTTACTTTTACCCTACTTTCTTTTTATTATTTATTTATTTTTATTTTCTTCAAATACATCCTATCCATCAACAATTCCTTTTGGTAAATTTCGGAGGTTGCCTGGAAGAAATTGCTGTGTAGCACTAAGGCCGCCTTTAGTTGACCAATATTTGATAAACATTTTGTTTTTTGTAATTTTTATTTTTTGGTGTACAATAAAGCATGTTATTATTTATGGAGGGATATTCATTTGTTTTCTCGTCTGGTTGGGTTCATAAATATTATTATTAGATAAGGGTGGATGATGCGCAATATATGACTATAAAAATGAGTCACGTAGCCTCTCTCCACCAACTCCACTCCCAGCCTACCTGCGGTGAACCTTGTTACGTCGGGAAACCTATAATCGAGATTGCGGTAGCCAACCGCTTTGGAGATATAGGTCGACAAGCTAGCTGCTTGTCGACCTATATCTCCTAGGAGACCTATATCAGGGAGGAGGGGTCCGGACCATGAAGTCACTCGGTCCGGATGTCAGTCATCGGCAACAGGGCGTTCTGAATACTGACACATCAGTACTGCGGTGCAGAAGGCAAGGGGAAACCACTGCACTAATTTTCCCAAGAAACCCGTTATGAAAAAATGCAAGGAAATGACACAGCGATGGCATACGATCCGGTCACCACCCGGCGCCATGCCGATTCGCATGTGTGAAGTATGCTACTGGGTCCACTGAAGTGACATATCAGGTTCGGTGCGTACAGGATGCTACTGGTGTTAATATAAACGTACAGAATCATAAGAACCGCCCGCAACTTCGCAAGAAGATCAGAATTGGGACATGGATTGTTCGAGGCATGCTTCAACCAGGGAAAGTGGAAATTATAGGAAGAGAGCAGAAATGCTATAATGTGGAGATTCTGGGCATTACAGAAACACACATGAGAGGATCCGGTTTCTATACAACACCTACTGGCCAAACTCTCTACTTTTCTGGAACTGACGATAAAAGTAAAAATGGTGTTGGTATTTGTTTGTCTCAACTTATTAACAAGTCAGTACTCGGGTATAACCCAGTGAGCGACCGCATAATGACTATGAGATTAAACACAAAACTATGTCACGTGAACCTATTCGTAGTTTATGACTTCACAGTCTTCGGAAGCTGAACGCGAGGATTTCTACAAATTGTTGGAGGACACTATTAAAACACTGCCTAGAAGAAATAATACGGCTCTGATGGAAGATCTTAATGCAAAAGTGGGATCTACACTTCACGAGAATCATCTAAGAGAAGTGGCTGCAATTTTGTGCTGAAAACTCCCTCACTATAATGAATACTCAGCTGCAACTCACTGCTTTCAGCACCATTCCAGACGCTTGTATAGGTGGATGATGCCAGGTGATCGTTTTAGAAACCAAATCGACTATATTACTGTTTCAAAGCGATGGAGATCCTGTATCAGCAACACCAAATCGTACCCTGGAGCTGACTGCAGGAGTGACCACAAGCTCTTGGTCTCAGAAATGTCTATAAAACTCAAAAGATCTTTAAGAAACTCAGTGAAACGCCAAGTTCGACCTTTAGAACGACAGCTTGCTGTTTTCAAGGAGTGTTTCATTAATAATTCTGAAAACTTTAAGCTAGATCAAAACGTGGACATAGATACAAATTGGACTAGAGTTAATGAGCTGCTTATCAAATCACGAAAAGAAGTCCATAATCAGAACTAAGTCACTGACAATCCAAAGAAGGCGTGGATTATGAATGAGACATGGGAAGCAATAAAAAGACCTAGTGGCAGCCAGAAGAGACTCTGAACGCACCAAATATAAACTTCTGTCAGCAAAAGTACAGCGCTTATGTCGCAAAGATTACAACCAATATCTGAATTCCATATGCCAGGATATTGAGATTCACGCACAGACTTTGCACACGAGATATCTATTTCTGTGAAGAGAGTTCAAGCCAAAAACTTGGGCCATCGAAGACAAGCAGGGAAAATTACTGACAGAAATAGACCATATTGCGGAGAGGAGGCGACAGTACTGCGAGAACCTTTACAAGGATCCTAACAGCATCACTACTGGGCCATCGTTTGGTACAGAAGAACATCACAAAGCCAGTTATTATCGAGTCTGAGGTTAGGTACGCTTTGAAAAGGTTGAAAGCAAGTAAATCAGCAGGAATAAACAATATATATGGTATTAAAATCTTACTGGACCTGTGCAACCAGCTATGGAAAACCGGTAAGTGGCCTAAGGACTGGAAAGAGTCTTAGATATAGAGGTATTAGATACCTCTGCACAAAAAGGATTCCACGAAGTCGTGAGGAAATTACCGAACGGTGGCGCTTATATCGCTAGCAAGATAATGCTCTACATAATCAATGGGCGGTTGCAATCCTATTTGCAACGGCGAATACCAGATGAACAGGCTAGTTTCGTCAAAGGCCGGGGCACTAGAGAGCAAATAGCCAACATGAGGCAGTTGATAGAAAAGAGCCGTGAATTTAATGTACCAATTTTCATGTGCTTTATTGACTACTCGAAAGCATTTGATTGCGTGAGATGGGAACCCTTAGGGACAATCCTTCCAGAAATGGGAGTACCTTTGCACTAAATTGAATTGAACGCAAGTTTGTACGACGGTGGAGAGTCCATGGTCAGGCTGAATGATGTGGTGTCAGCACCTTTTAAGCCAGAGAAAGGAGTCCGACAGGGATGCATTCTATCTCCCCCTCTTTTCAATATCTATGGCGAGTATATAATGAGGAGAGCCTTAGATGGGTGGGAGGGAGTTATCGCCGTCGGGGGTAACAAGATCAGCAACCTCAAATATGCAGATGACACTACGTTGTTCGCGTCCTCCGAGTGCGAACTAGCAGAATTGTTTAGCAGGGTAGAACGAGAAAGCGAAGCGATAGGACTTTCGGTCAATAAATCTAAGACCAAAGTTATGATCATCGACCGAGCTGGACAATGCCCACGCACGGGAGAACTTGCATATATGGAGTGTGTGGACGACTTTGTATACCTGGGCTCAATTATCAGGGATTAGGGGGGCTGCGAGAAGGAAATTCGGAGACGTACGCAGATGGGCAAAGCGATCATGGGCAAAATGTGGGATCTGGCGAGACAGAAATATCTCCAACAAAACCAAAATGAGACTTGCTAAGACGCTGGTATTCACGATATTTATACATTCGATTTTATAACAAGTCCATTCTTGACCAACTAAACATTAAGACTAGGCTCTCCACAATTTGCTATCAACAAATTCTAATTTATTTTGGTCACATCGCCTGCTGGCAGCCGGATAATTTTGAAAAAGTAGTTGTAATCGGGAAAGTGGATGGCGAAAAACCACCTGGGCGATCACCTACCCGGTGGTCTGATCAAGTGAAGCTTATAACCGGGCTTCCTGTTTCCACTGCTTTGAAGAAAGCCGAAGATAGAGTGGTGTGGAAGCAGCTCGTCGCCGATTCTCTTAAAATTATTCAGGACGGATACGACCTTCAGTCATGAAGACCACGAAGAAGACGAATCATCGTGCGCGAAGTGCTTACTCACTTGTCATAGATTTAAGTTCTCTGTTTGATATAAAGGTACATGGTATAACCGAAAGATGTGGTACTAAGTGTTAGATGGATCAATATTTTGTTTTCAATAAAACCGGTATTCTTAAACAAAAATGGGTTTTAATAGGTTCTATTAAAAACCGGTTTATTCACCGGTTTCTTCAAACCGCTTTACATCTCTATCACTAGGTCTTTCTTTGAGTCCCGCGAGGCGCACACGTATTGTGCGTTGTTGTTTGTCTTGGTAAGTGAAGTGTAATCTTTTTATATTTGTGTAATCTTTTAGTTTTGTATAACTTTTCTAAGTGAATATTATTCATACGAAGGCGTTAGTGGCTCTTTCCTCAATATTTTGCATTAAATTTATGAAATCATCATAGACGTGCTCACATGAAATCTTTACACCTATTCTTCTTTTTTTAGTCCTTAAATTTCTCCGAAGTCCCTACTACACTCAATAAGATGGGTAGGGAGGACAAGGCTACCTGGAAGACTAACTACTTCACCAAAATTATCGTAAGTACTGCCTGCTACAATAAACCTCATTCATTAAATTGTCTGTCCTAATACAACAATATATAAAAATGTCTGTCATAAAAACCAAGGAGCGTAAAATTAGCACTTTGGCTTCGCTTTCAGACTAAATCGAATTCTTCAAATTTATCCTAGTGTGATATTTTGTGTATATCGACATTGCACTGGCATTTTGGAGATACACTTCCTAATATGTACCTATTTAAATAATGGGTAAAATTTTGAAACGAGTCGCCTTCGTATGGGTTCGGGGGTGGGTGGGCGGAAGGGGGTTGATGTGTGGGTTAAAGTTTTTTTATTGTTCGCATCTTCGAAAACACTGAAATTTATCAAAATTACGTTCCATTTCACGTTTCGTAAGATTTTTAAATTTTAAAAAATAGCTAATTAAATTTTTTCACGTCTCCGACAGAAAAAAATGCGTTAGTGCTTGGTAAGAACCTCCTTAAAACCCCCCAAACTCGCAGTGTACTTGAATTTGGGCGACTCGTTTCAAAGCCCAACCCTAAATAATTTCTAATGTATAGGCTTTTCTAGTCTATATTGACTGTATCATTTTAAAAGCTTAGCGTTAAGAGCGTAAAAATATAACATCGGTACAAGTCATAATTCACATTGCTGTGCAATCTACCTATTTTATTAATAATGTTCAACATTTGCAGCAACTTTTAGATGAGTACCCAAAATGCTTCCTGGTGGGTGCAGACAATGTGGGTTCCACCCAAATGCAGCAGATCCGTATCTCGCTGCGTGGCCACAGCATTGTGCTTATGGGCAAAAACACCATGATGCGTAAGGCCATCAAGGATCATCTGGAAACTAACCCAAATCTGGAGAAGTTGCTCCCCCACATCAAGGGCAATGTTGGCTTTGTATTCACCCGTGGTGATTTGGTTGAGGTGAGTAACTTTTATTATGATGATAATTTGTCTGATTCTAATTTTTGTAAAATTAAGTTGATGAGAGCAACTATGTTTCCTAATAAATTATTAAAAAATATTGCAAGTTTATTTTTTCAATAATCAAAATTATGTTTCTACGTGGTGTTTATCAGGTCCGTGATAAGCTATTGGAGAACAAAGTTCGCGCGCCTGCCCGTCCAGGTGCTATCGCGCCACTTTCCGTGGTGATCCCGGCACACAACACTGGTCTTGGGCCTGAGAAGACATCTTTCTTCCAGGCTCTGTCCATCCCTACTAAGATCTCAAAGGGTAAGAACTACTAATGAATATTCAAGTTTATTACTCTTTTTGCTATAAACAAATTCATTGTTATTTAATGGGTAAACAATAAAAAAAAACAAAGCAAACCAACATTTAAAAATAAATACAACCAATGTCTGTCCTAATACCAGGGAGTGTAGTATTACCTCGCTGGCTTCGCTTTCAGACTACAAAAACCACTCCAAATTTATCCTAGTGTGATATTTACAATTATCAATTTTGCACTGGCATTTTGGAGATACATTTATTTATTAAAATCAAACACTATTACTATAGCATAGGCATAATTTATTTAATAATTGCTTGAGATTTTATTCAAATATATATAATTACAACATGTATTTATTTGTAGGTACTATTGAAATCATCAATGATGTGCACATCTTGAAGCCTGGCGATAAAGTAGGCGCCTCCGAAGCTACCCTGCTCAACATGCTTAACATCTCTCCATTCTCATATGGTCTTGTTGTCAAGCAGGTGTGTAGTGTTTTTTGTTACATTTTATTCATAGATCTTCATATTTTGTAATAAATGTCATACCTATTAATGTGACCATTATAGAACATATAGCACCATAAATCCAGTGGAGTTAACCACAGTTTGGAAAAAAAGGACCTATTGAACAATAGGAGACTTTTGTACATATTTGATCACTTTCTCCTGATTAATGAACATTAAGTATATTAGATTGGTTAAATTAAGAAATGATACTTGATTTGATGAATTTTATCAAGTAATGGTATACTGGGGAATGAAAGCCATAAGTCATCCTACCCAAAGTGTTGAGTACAGTTTGTGTTGATCAATGCATTCTGATAATTTACCTTTGGTATAATAAAATGCTATGTGAGTTTTGTGTTGTCATTTCACCATTCAAATGGAAATTTAACCCACAAGCAAACAACATTTATTCAATTAGTATTATACTTAATATAAGGTTGGTTTACATTTAATAAAAAATTGCAAGTCAATATCAAATTCAACCTTTTTCTTACAGAAATCATAATGTAAATATTTTTTCTAATGTGACACTTTGAACATAATGCAGGTGTATGACTCTGGCACTATCTTCGCGCCAGCAATTCTTGACATCAAGCCGGAGGACCTTCGCGCCAAGTTCATGGAGGGTGTTGCCAATGTGGCTGCCCTATCCTTGTCCATTGGTTACCCTACAGTTGCCTCTGCTCCTCACTCCATCGCCAATGGTTTCAAGAACCTGCTTGCCATTGCTGCCGTTACAGAGGTTGAATTCAAAGAGGCCACTACCATCAAGGAGTTCATCAAGGTAATTTTATTTGCATTAAATGCCTCCATACTATGGTGTAATTGTAATAGCCGCATAGTTCAGTGTCTTGACACTCGCCTTAATTAAATTCACTCGAACAACCTGAGTTCGATCCCTGATGCCAGCACCAATTAAAGTATTAATTTTAAGTGCTAGCTTATCACATGCTCAGTGGTGAAGGAAAACATTGTGATGGAAACCTGCATATTTTCGAAATAATAACAAACAATATTTCGAAGATATGGCCTACCTTCTATACAGAGGAGGCCTTTGCCAGCAGTGGGACATATAGACTGACACTAATACTAATATACACTAGTGAATGTTGTGCTAAACTAATTGACACTTGTCGTCATCAGGACCCGAGCAAGTTCGCCGCAGTCGTCGCCGCGGCGCCTGCAGCCGCAGCGCCCGCCGCCGATAAGAAGGAGGAGGAGAAGAAGCCCGAGAAGGAGGACTCTGAGAGCGACGACGACATGGGCTTTGGTCTGTTCGACTAAGCCCCGCCCGTGGCCACCTGCACCCACTGCGCACACTCGTCACGCCGCCGGGCTGGACACCCATTTGGCGGCTCGCGTTAGTGCATAGCGGTTGTCGGTGATTAAACAGCCACTTTGACCGTGAAACTTGTTTTATTATAACCATCCAACATTACACACTTACATTGTAACGAATGATGCAGCCTTGCTGGTTCTTTTTAATTTTACAGTATCATCATCTGATAAGTGTATATTTTTGTAAATTATTAGAGCAAGATAAAGGTGGTAAGGGTGGAGCTTGATGTTAATATACTGTGTAATTTTTTCTTCTCAAGGCATTTGATATTTTTTGACAGTCCACTGCTGTAGTTAGACCTTGTTATGAATGTCTAATATGAAGAAAGTAAAACTTTATCCCTAGGGGAGGCTTAACGCTTTACAACAGTATGTGGATGAGGTCAAAACTATTTTTCAACAGTGAATTTTAAACAAACGATTGATCATTTCAAATTGTTGATTAAAAAGTACTCAAGACAGAAATTATTAGTTGATGTGCTACAAATTGCAAGCCAGGGCGGCGCCCTATTCATGAAATATGTGCAAAAGCAACGTAAGTGCAGTTATCTTTTTAGGGTGCCGTACCCAAAGGGTAAAATGGGATCCTAATACTAAGACTGCTGTCTGTCCCCTTGTCACCAGGCTGCATCATGTTAACCGTGATAGACAGTTGAAATTTTGACAGATGTATTACTATTGCTGCTATAACAACAACACAAAAAAAAAGTATAGATATATATTTTTATAGATAATGGTACGGAATCTTCCGTGCGCGATTCCGACTCACTTGGCCGGTTCTTTTTTAAAACATTGCCCTTACTGTAGGATAATGTTATCGTACGTTGTAAGATGTACATGTATATAGATATATAGGGTAAAAAATAGTCGTCCTGTGTGAAAACCAGAGCTTAGCGGCCGATATTCTCAAGGCACTAAAATCTCGACAAATATGTCGTTCGTCGTACGTCGTCATAAATTTTGCATATTAGCTAATGATCAAAATGATCAATTAAAGAGTTCGATGATTAGTTAATTTCTATGATTATCAGTGTTTCAGAAACAGAATTTTGGTCTATTGTATCACTACCACTAATACAAAAATAAGTCATTTTGTTTAATTTATACTTATCACATAAACTATACGTCGTTTCCGATAAGGGTTAATAAAAAAAAACGATTCGTGTCAAACGATTTTATTTCTTTGGTTTTAATTCTAAGAAGTTGTAACATTAGGAAGCGTTCACGCACCAAGCATGATAACTAAAATTTATCTTAAAATACATCTGTCTTCCCCCCCTGTCACCAGTTGAGGATAGAAAAATATACAGAGATATCACAAGGTACGTACAAATTTATAAATACACAAACTTAAGTTATGAAACGATATTGTAATTTACGGATAGTAAAACTGTTACCTATTATGAAAACAAATGTTGAATGAAGGCTCTTTAAACACAATTAAAGATCTATTACTAACGAAAAGTCCAAGAATCGTGTTAGTAAGAACTTAAGTCAAAATTATTATAATTATATTATTAACTTTACATATCTGTTGTAATAAAAGTATGAATGGTGTTCTTTTAGTGCACTGATTTTCTTCGTATTATTTGGTTTTAATTGATCCCGATTGAATCTGATACGATTATTGATACAAATATTATGCATACGTTTTATATTTCTATAGGAATTCACAGTTCTTTACATATAAAAAGTATGATTTTGTCTATATATTATGTTTCCCGATGCAAAATACCATGCCCTATATAACAGACGACATTTGTTGATAGTTTAACGTAATATTTCAAGTATTTTTAAATTCCCAATTCTTATTACCTATATAATTAAGTTAACTGTTTTTGACCTTTTTTCAGCCAAATTATCAGTTTCCATGTAAATTGCGATAGTGTGCGTGTATGTCTATGAGGAATACAAACTTAAGTTTTAATTCTTTATGTAGAAAAATGTTTATCGCATTTCGGTCTCGACTCTGTTAATAATTTACTATACTATAAATAATTATGTGCAAATGTTAATAATAACAAATATCCATCATGATTTTGTCTATATATTGATATAATTTTGTCTTTATTTGCACCTAAATATGTAATTCCTTTTTAATAGATTTTATTAGCTTAGGAACAGGGGATTTGTTATGATTTCTTACACTGAATAAAATTAATATATATATTTGTGGCAATGGAAATATTTGATGTTTAAATCTGTGACATAAAATTCTAAAAAGCTGAATGACAAAGTTTGGAGTTTTGTTTTAAGTTTAGCTTTTCCTCGCTATAGTAGTGATGGCAAAACAATACGAAATATTAACGTTTATTTAATTGCACAATTAACGTTTTGCATTAAATATATGTTTCTTAGGTGGACGATATATTTTTAGAACAATGTATAAATATATATCATTTTACATAGACACTGTAAACACATCATACTTGGGGCACGTATAAAAAACGTCAATTATTTTGTCGACCGTACATTTCAAATTGCCTGTTAGACTAGAAGTGCATACATCATAATGAAAATATAGAACCGCGGACATTTGTGAAAGTAACATTTCACTCCCTTTATGACATTACGCCATTGCTAAGAATTCAGCTGTTATAATTTCGTACACAAACGCAACCGTTCACAATTGTGTTATCATCGATTAGACAAGCATTTTTGACCGTTTCGGCCCTGTCAGGGTACAAAAGTTACCGATTTAAAATTTCACAGTCATCAACAACGCGTTTATATTGAGGATCCGAAAGTTACCTCGGCGGTGCATTCGGAGGGTCCGCTTCGCACTTCGTTATCTGTGGCGAGACGTCACAAACATGGCGGAACGTCCCATAGACAGGCGTCCGACGGGGGATTTGGCGCGAACCGCGTTCATAAGTCCACGTGGCGGGGCGCTGTTTCCGGCGTGGACGCTGGCAGGGCTGCCACACCTGAAGTATACGGTTCAAAAGACGACGTCAGACTATCTCATTGCAATTCTACGCTATTATTATTTAGGCCGAAACATGTATTGAACGAGTACCACATTTTTATGAACAAAACACAAAACCGACTTCAAATCATCATCATACATTTAATATTTGGTTTTGAGGAGTTCTCGGATATATCACCGGAGACCAAGGTATTATACAGCGTGTCGTTACCATCGCGACAATAAATGAACACACGTCCAATGCTACTTGCCAATAATCATAAAAAATATTAACGTTAAACAAAATCCATAATTTAAAAAAAAATATTTTTCAAACAAACTAATTAAATAAAAAAGAAACAAAATAAGTAACATCCTATACAACTCGCGCCACAGCGTCGTATTACAAGCCTCTCCTTCTAACAGTATGTTTTGTCTCTTAAATTTATTCAACCCATTCATATGCTTTCTGACCTTTACAAATGAACTTTACGTTACGCTTTCTAAAATTCAGACTTTTGGAAAATTTAATAACTCTGTAAATATTGATGTTTAAAGAATTTAAACGTTTAATACAACTTTAAAAAGTTATCCCCTGTATGTGTGTTCATTTATTGTCGCGATGGTAACGACACGCTGAAATGAATGTGAATGCCGATGTACGCTGAAATGCCGATGAAATGAATATGAGGGCAACATTGGAGCTAAACCGAACCGAAGTCAATGCGAGATGAATTTTTTTCGGTTAATTATTGACCGAGTTCTGAAGCAAACATAAAAAGATAAAGTAGAATTGAGAACCTGCTTTTTTGAAGTCACTTGCTCTTCAATTGACTTCATTCGATTGTTAGCATATAGATCGGAGGAGAGGCAGGGGTATATGGGAGTCGTCCCTGAGACGGATACCCACTAAAAACACACGTTGCACATGTCTATGTCCCATCGGCCGGGGACACGGGAACACGCAGACGCAATCTTCCGCGACCCCGGCACGACTACGGCCTTCTTAGGCCTCCTCCTATTCTAAACGACATTCCCCTCACGAGCCCCATATGGAGCGACAGACACCCCCATGCCTGCCGCTCGGGGTCTCACTATCAGGGGGGAGGGTTGCGCGAGTAGGCCAGTCTCCGGCGGCGGATATCCAGGGTTGCAGTTGCCTCCCTTAACCTTTTCGCGGCTTCCTTCCGGGTGATAACATCCCCGTAATATGCGAGGACAGCACCCGGGACGAGCCTGCCCATTCGTGCCAGCGGAAGCTGCTTCGAGGTCCGTTGGCGCAGTTGTGCCTCGACCGCCGCCAGAGGTCAGAGCTTTCTCTCTCCGCCGATCTCTGCTGAGTCTGCGGTACCTCCCCGGGCCGAGGCAGTATCATAGTTCCGCCGCCAGAGGTCGCAACAGTCGTGGCTCACCGATCTCGCCGCGCTCCTCGCCGTTGATGGAGGGGTGGGCGGGGCGCGGGCGCGGACGCGGGCGCCGTGCGCGCCGCGCGCGCCGTTCATTGCCGGCCGCCGCTATCAGCGGCCGCGACTCGTCCTCGTCCGCGCTGCAATGGAAACCGAATCGTGTAATTTTTTTATTCGATGGACTCGATGGGTGCAGTTATTGTTGGTAGTTTTTACTGACAATAATTGTTGTAATGCTTTTCAAAAAGTTCTCTTACTTCTCGTCGTTGTTAGCGTTTTGTTCAGTGTCTTCTGTGGGTAGAGCGCTCTGGAACAGATTAAATTTTAAATAAAATTAGAAAGAAAAGGAAATTAATTTTATGATAAAATTATTTGTTGTAATTAAATTGTTGATTTTCACAAAATAATACAAACCAAACAACGTAATTGAACCTCAAATATGTTTCTTGGAATTGAGTAATATATTCATATATTTTTTTATTTTTTTTTTGTTACACCAACAAGATGAACACTAAGTTTAGACAATATACACATATAATTTACATATTAATAAACGGCTTGGTGAGTGCCACCTCAATTATAGGTGCAAACCGCAATGCTTTAAATTTAACAACACAAGAACTTAAAACTATTTATTTGTGAAAAAAAAAAGTGAATTCCAAAAAGTAATCAAAAATAAAAAAAAAAAGTAACATAACCAAACATAAAAAAATTAAGGGCTTCAAGTTCATGTTTTTTAAATTCAAAATATTTGTTTGAGAAAATATCAATATCAAGCGCGTTATTACTGGTTCTCAGAACATTTATAAGTTCATGAGTTTTTTTAGGGGACTCATTAACACTAGAATTAGGTAATGCGTTGTATGTTATTAATAATCTGTTAAGAGGTGAATGTAGACCCTAGTTTGTTTGCATAGTAGTTTTCAATGAACGTATTCTAGAATAACAATACTAGGAAGATAAAAAGGAAACAAATAATAATCCAATATCGGTGGAAAACGAAAACAGTTTCATTTCACGCATAGCAAAAGAGCATAAAAACAGTCGGCCGTAGCACCGTAGAGCGTAGAGCCTACCTCCGCGTCGGCGTCGGCCGCCTCGGCACGCGCGCTGCTCCCGCGTAGCCGCGCCATGTAGCGGGCCGCCCTCACGAAAGGGTTCTCGCGTTGCTCCTCAAAAGTGCCGCCCTGTTGATGGTTATGAGTTACTGTGATACATTGATAATTATGAGTTATTTTGATACATTGACAATTATGAGTTATTGTGATACATTGACAATTATGAGTCTTGAAGTTTTACCAAATTATCGAATTTAAGATCAATGTAAAACGAAGTATAAACGACTAATTAATGTTTTTCAAAGGGATTTTTTTTTATTTGAGAAAGTGACAAACGATAAGCGGGTCACCTGATGTTAAATGATAACCACCGACACTGCCCATTGACATACGCAACACCCGTAGGTTAGTAGATACGTCGCCACCTTTTAGTAAAATGGACCCAGGTTACCTCACTCACCAGATAAAACGCAGAAGTGTAACACTTCCACTTTACGCCGGTCTTCTGTGAGGTCGTGGTACTTACCTGGGCGGACCTGCCCATTCGTGCAACAGCGAACACTGTTGCACGGCCCTACCACAGTTAAATTTTTTCTTATATTTATATTAAATATTATTACCGGGATTTAGTACTTTTTGAATAACGGGTATACTTTCATTGGTCTATGTAGGATAATGTAGTAAGGCCATTGATTATATTTTTCGGCTAGTAGCTGAAAAATATGGCGTGTGTGAAATAAGACCCGTGTATCCACACGTATAAAAGTGAGTGGACAAGTCCCGTTCCCGGCTTAGAGCCAGTGGTAGGGATGTCGAAAATGAAATAAAAATATAAATATCGGCGTATATATATCGACGAGAAAACAACGATATATTTATTAGATATAGGTCCCAGAAAACCGTTTGTCCAAAAGATGGTATGAGTAAATAAAAGAAAGTATTAAATATTTGACACCAACGGACTCTTTGGCGAAATCTAATTTGAAAAAGTATCGCTTTTGATAAATATTATTTTCGATAGTGATTATTTTGTATCGGCACATCCATATATCGGAACAAAATGTGTCAGCTGAAAATAATCGATATATCAATGTTCTTTTGGACATCCCTAATCATTGAGCGGATGACTCGATTGCACCGTTGCTAAGCTTATGGCTTCGGCGTCAAGAGTCGTGGGTTCAATTCCTACACGGGACAAGTATTTTTGTGACCCACAGATAATTGTGTTGACCCCCGGGGATATGGGTGTTTGTTTTCCAAGGAAGGCTGACAAAACAGCCGAAACCGTTTACAACGTGATTCATATGTTGGTGCCGACTATCTAGTTGGTATACGGGCGACGAGGATTCGACTCCTCCTAGGTGGGATACGGGCGATGATGTTCCTTAGTGGGCGTGGGCGTGGGGAGGCGTGGGCGTGGGCACCTGCGTGGGCGGCGCTCGCGCGGCGACCAGCGGCTCCGAGGCGTCGCTGTCCGAGTCGGAGTGGGGGCGCCTCTCGCCCGCGGCCAGCACGCGCCTCTTGCAGACGGGGCACACGCGCCGGTTCTGCGTCAGCCACGGGTCGATGCACTTCGCGTGGTACGCTGCGCGGGAAACGGCCAATCCGTTTGAATTTGGAACGCGGCGGGCGATTTGTTTTTTTTTTTTTTTTGAAGTAATACTTCTTTAGGCGCGTTATGATAAAGTGAGGGTGAAATTATAAGATGCGCGCGCATCACCGTAACCCAAAAGTAACACCTTTGAAAGACGCGCGCGCATCACTGTAACATCTTTGAAGCTGCCCGCAAAACCACTTATTTTTTTTACCGATGACAGCATAGCATATCTCTATCACATTCGCCCGTTAGAGTTCTCAATAAAGAATGTTGATAGCGCTTTTATAATTTTATTATTTTTATTATTTATATCCTTTTCGATTCTTTTTATTATTCTATTGTAATTAATTATTTGCATGCAATTAAAAACTACTTTTTAATGGTGCCAAATAAAATAAATTCTAACACGCGTACATGAGTACACACAGACATTTTTTGTATAACAGCTCACTGTATCATCGTCCGGCGGCCTAGCTACTCCCCGTGGACCAATTGATTTTATTATCTAGTTCCGAATTAAGTAAGTTCCTTGCGATGTTAATGATGAATATAACAATCAGACAATAGTAAAATTTCCCGGCAGCGGGGATCGAACCCACAGCCTCCGGTGTATTACTACTTAGGCTTATTAACTACATCCCGAAGACGGGGAGATCAATGAAGAACGGCGTAAACTCGGGGGAGTTCGTTGGCCATGAAAATGGGGCCGAGTAGGAAGGCGCGCTGAATGTTCCAGCGCGCCTTACCCGAAGGAGAGGGGAGTTGGGTAAGAAGAAGTGGAGAAATCAGGGTACTCCTGGCATAAGGACACGTCAACCCTGACGAGAGTACCCACTCTTGGGCATCAGGACAACTCAGGGTAATCCTGGCATCAGGTCGAGTCAGTGTTCTCCTGGCATCAAGTCTAATCAGGTGACATCTCGAATCGGGCCAAGTGAGGCTCCTGGATCCAGGCCACTGCCGAGCAGGGCGTACCGTGCGCGCAGGGCAGCACCCTGAGCCGCTCGCCCTCCTGGTAGTCGTCGAGGCAGATGGCGCACGTGTCGTAGGGGTCGCCCTTGCTGAACTTGCACGTGGGGATCTTCCTGAGCGCGCGGCTCGGCAGCCGGTGGCGTCTCGCGCGCCGCCTGTCCTTTATGCACTTCACTATCTGCCGACGAACAACGGAGGGTGAGCCGACAGCTGCAAGTACATCACTACGGCGGATCAAAAGATAAGAAAACATGACGTAACAGCCATTACGTGTCAAGTAAAGTGTCAGGGCATTGTCCACGCGACCCCACATGGGCGAATTTTGTATATATCTTTATTTATGGGATGAGATGGCAAGCGAGCTGGCGGTTCACCTGATGTTAAGTGATAACCACCGCCCATGGAAGTTTGCAACACCCAGCATGCAATGCGTTGCCACCTTTTTTACACCCGGCTACCTCGCTCGTCGGACAAAACGCAGAAGTGTAACTTCCACTTCGCGCCGGTCTTCTTTGAGGTCGTGGTACTTCCCCGGACGTGAAAGCACATTCGTGAAATTTAATTTAATTTAGTGTCACTTATATCACAAGCATAAAACGTAGCAAACGTTGCCTGGAAAAGATCGCTATGAAGCGATAAAGCTGCCAAATTGTTGTATGTCTCTTGTTTATTACCCAACTGCGCGAGAAGGAGGGTTATGTTTTTTGAGAGTATGTATGTATGTATAATTGTTTGGCACGCTCTGCAGCCTGAACGGCTTCATGGATTATAGCTTGAGAGGTTCTATTATTATAGCTTGAGAGGTCTTTCGTTAGATTCGTATTTACTGTGAGAGTGACATGGGTAGGTATATTAAAAAAGTAATAGCCTATACATGTCCCACTGCTGGGCAAAGGCGTCCTCAATACAGAAGGTGATACCTTCATAGGGCATAGTCCACCACGCGGCCCCACTGCGGATTGGCGGGCTTCACAGATCTTCCAAAAATATTTTTTTTGTTATAATTTCGAAAATATGCAGTCGCCTCCCGATGTTTTCTTAAATCGCGGAGCACGTGATAAGTCAGCACTTAAAGTTAAAGACTTCATTGGTGCCGGCACCGGGGATCGAACTCAGGTTGCTCGAGTATATTGAACTAAAGGCGAGCGCCCGGACACTGAGCTATCACGGCTCAGGAATTAGGAATATCAAAATAATTTCCAAATTACACATAAACGCAGTCGGGTTTTTATTTTTTTTAATTTTGTGTATCCTTTCATTTGTGGTGAAACATAAGTGTATTATGTGGTCAATATATTTTTTAAAAGAGACGACGGACACGAATGCATTAAAAATACCAACTATAATACAAATTTATTAATCGCTTACCATGAATATCAGTATGACGATCAGACATAGAACCACCACGACGGCGAATGGCACGAGGAGACTGTTGATATTGTATGGAAGTTCGCCGTTCACCATTATATAGTAACTGGAAAATGGAAAACGATTCTACGATACACAACTCTGTTTGGGGATCAATGGTGCGGTGGCCGAGAGGTGGGGCGTAATAGCTGCGGTGGCGACTTCGAATATTTCTAGCGATAACTTTTAGGGTTCCGTACCCAGAGAGTAAAACGGGACCCTATTACTAAGATTCCGCTGTTTGTCTGTCTGTCCGTCTGTCACCAGGCTGTATGTCATAAAGCGTGATAGATAGACAGTTGAAATTTTGCACAGATGAAGTATTTATGTTGCCGCTTTAACAATGAAAACTAATTCTATTTGGCAAAATCCACACAAAAACATGATGCATTGTGAGATTGATAAATAACAACATAGTATAAAACAAAGTCGTCCTTAGATCTTTAAAACTACCCAACGGATCTTGATGCGATTTTTTTTACTAGAGAGAGTGAACTGAGAAGGTTTATAATTATGTATAATACATTGCACCCATGCGAAGCTAGGCTAGGTTATAAAAAACTAACCTAGCCTATCCGAGTCGGATCGCTCTGTGTCCCGGAAACTTATGGAAATTTTTACCAAAATTATATATAAAAAAAAAATTAGGGGACCACCCTTAACATTTAGGGAGATGAAAAATAGATGAAGTCCGATTCTCCACCCTGGTCGATGAGCGCACAAAAATTCACGAAAATCGGTCGAGCCGTTTCGGAGGAGTTCAATTACAAACACCGTGACACGAGAATTTTATATATTACATATTTTTATAAATTAAAATTAATTCTCACCTATTGGTCAACTGCCAGTATGCGCCTGACTAATCAATTAGCACATTTTTATGCTAATATAAATGTCAAACCTGATTATAGACATAAAAACTGAGGTATTCGGAGGGAAACCATTGTGTTTGTTGGTGAATATTAAAAAAAATCAGCACCCTTAATCGTGATAATCATAATCAAAATTCAGAATTAAAAAAATTACTTTTATTTCAATTCAAACAAATGTTTACCGAGCAAACGACCGATATACGAAAGCGAATACTACAACAAAAGGTCGATAAACAAACATACACTCCATTATATTCATACTAAATAATAAATTACGCTTCAAATTATCGCGCGCAACATTGTCACAGGCTAAAAATACACTCACTGATCTGTTTTTTCCTACGCGCCAAAGTATTACTAAGAACACCCTTTGCTTTCAACTATTTGCACGATTAATTTGTTAATGTTATGTTATTAACTTTAGCCAACTAATTAAGCCCACAAATTCTAGCACTGTTTCAAAGCTTAGCATAGTTTCTATAGCCTAGCATGGTTTTAACACTTTGGAATTAATTGAAACTGCACATTTTGCAAGGACCGATGAGAAAATGACAATTTAACAAGTTCATCCCATTATCCTGACCAGGATCTTCAGTATTAGCGACTTTTTATATAAAAAAATCCCTTTTCTTTCTTAATGTTTTTAAGATATTTTATAATGCCTTTTCTTTCACCAAAACATATCAATAAAACGTTTACAACAATTGAAATCAAGCACCCCACGCAACTTTACGATAAAATGATTTTCTTCTTAATAATTCCATTATATTTTTTTTAACTTATTGCAAATTATTTTCTACTACGCTTCTGGAACGCTTTAACCGCTAAGCTAAACGGCTGTTTGCCACACCGACGAACATCTGAACGTCTTTTATCGGCATCGCTTTATAGTTTTCTAAACAATTTAGTGATGTCCTCTAGCCCATTGTTGTTCCCATAGACTAGTGTTGTGCTGCACTTACTGGGTCGACGTGTAGAGGTACTGCTCCGACAGTATTATCCCGGCGAGGTCGCTGACGAACACCGAAGGTATGGTTATGCCGTCGGGATTTTTAGCTGACATCGTCTCTGCAAAGAACGTAAAAGTAAAAAAAAGTAAAGTAACAGCCTATACATGTCCCACTGCTGGGCAAAGGCCTCCTCTATACAGAGGGTATCAGGGCATAGTCCACCACGCGGCCCCACTGCGGATTGGCGGACTTCACATATCTTCGAAATATATATTTTTTTTATTATTTCGAAAATATGCAGGTTTCCTCACGATGTTTTCCTTCACCGCGTAGCACGTGATAAGTCAGCACTTAAAGTTAAAGACTTCATTGGTGCCGGCACCGGGGATCGAACTCAGGTTGCTCGAGTATATTGAATTAAAGGCGAGCGCCCGGACACTGAGCTATCACGTACTATCACGGAAAGAACGTAATGCGTTGGAAAACTGTGCACATATCGCCCACCGAGCATCCACCAGACCGTATTTCTTCAATTTGATTAAACTAACGCCCGGTATCTGAAACACTGATCATCGTAGATGTTAACTAATCAGCTGTCAAATGGCTGCAGGCTGCAGAGCGTGGCAAAGATTCGAAATATTTATGGTCGAAAAATATTACCCGCCTTCGGTGGTCGGGTGAAAATAAAATAGATTTAAAAACCGGTTTAAATAGCTCGTTTTAGATATCGAAAAAGGATATAATATTCAAATAAAAATCGTAACGTGTTAAAATAAACAAAATTATCTATGGGCAATAAAAATACACGCCTCTGATTTGAACCGAATTATTCGCCTCAATCGGATGTTGTTTACGCTTTTGCTTACGCGGTTTTACGACCTGATTAAGCTTCGGTGAGTGTCCTCGGAAATAGGTATGTCGAAAGTGAAGAATGTTTATAAAAATATCAATCGGCCTTGTTTATATCGTAGAGAAATAATCGATAGTTTCTCTTTAGGTCCTAGAAACCCCGTCGTCCAAAAAATTGATATGTCGAGTATTTAATATTTGTCATCTACGGACTCTGTGTCGGATTCTAGTTCGAAAACATTTCGCTTTTGATACGATTTTCGATATCGAATATTTTGTATCGATATATCGGCTGAAAATATCGATATACAGCGTGTCGTTACCATCGCGACAATAAATGAACACACGTCTAACGCTACTTGCCAATAATCATAAAAAAAATATTAACGTTAAACAAAATCCATAATAAAAAAAAAATATTTTTCAAACAAACTAATTAAGTAAAAAAGAAACAAAATTTGTAACATCCTATACAACTCGCGACACAGCGTCGTTTTACAAGCCTCTCCTTCTAACAGTATGTTTTGTCTCTTTTAAATTCATTCAACCCATTCATATGCTTTGTGACCTTTACAATGAACTTTACGTTACGCTTTTATAGGTAAGGATGTTTTAAAATTCTTTGTTTTGGAAAATTTAATAACTCTGTAAATATGGATGTTTAAAGAATTTAAATGTTTAATACAACTTTAAAAAGTTATCCCCTATATGCGTGTTCATTTATTGTCGCGATGGTAACGACACGCTGTATATTTTATATGTTCTTAAAATAATAAAAGAATCTATACTTGGTTTCACAAAAAATTATTTATTAGAAAACTCGACTAAAAAATATTTTATGATGAACATGGTGTTTTTCTAGTGTCTGGGTGTTTCTATATGTATAATATGTATTTACTTACAAAAGAAAATTATGTTTAAGTATGTTTATCAGTTTTCTAATACCCATAGTACAAGCTTTGCTTAGTTTGGGACTAGAAAATGTTGTGTACAAATGTGTCCTAAATATTTATTTATTTATTATTTATTTATTTTCAAATGTTTAATTTGCCAAAAGAATGGTTAATCTCTTTGATTTGATCATTCTGATCATTAAGAAGACCATTCTGATTCCGATCAGTATTTCAGAAACCGGGCGTAAGAGTCGATCACCACCCACCACCCAAGATATTGTCCTCTTTGCATCCAGACAATCGTTTCATCATCAAGGAGCTACGAGCGATCAGGTCCTAAGTCCTATTGCGATCGGTTAAGCATCCCAAGAGGTTTAACGGCTTGCTGGTTCACCGCACTCGCGAGACGAAAAAGTATTCCTATTTCGCACCAATCCAGCGAGGGGAGGATATATTCGTTCTGTGGCGTGATAGCTGTGGTCTTTCGCTCGATCTACGTCCACCGACGGGTGACAAACGGACTTACTTCAGCGGGAGAATTCTCCATATTCGGTCTGCGCCGATCGGGGCGCGCGAGAGGACTGAGCTGCGGCCTTAATGGGCCAGATATCAGTGCGGTACGTGAGTACCAATCAGATAAGAGGTCGTTTCTTTATACTGCCCGTGCACTATGCATTCGCGACGGTAGCGGAAGCAAGCTCCCACTTTCTATGGGATATCCGATAATTTGCCCTTTTGTAGTGACACTCGAGAAGAAAGTGAACCCTATCGCGATGGGATTAGGACGATTTTTCGTTGCAACGCGACAGAATTCATTTTTTACGAGCGCATAAGTTTTGCTATAGAGTTTATTTTATCTGTAAGCGATAAATTAATTCGCACTGTTCGAATTAAACAACGTTGACACAGTGGCAGATAATAATTAAATATAAAATACAAACACACTCTCTCGGGATTTATAAATTGAGCATGATTTTATCGTATTCGGCGATATCTGCGTCAAAATAACCGAAGAATTATTTAATAAGCGCGTTTTAATACAATAAAAGCAAACCAAATTCACAAGACCATTATAGTAAGAGCCGTACCTACAGAACTTACCAAGGTCGCTGGAGTTCACGTTGTGGACGATGGCACAGTCGTAGCCGGCGAGCTGCGCGTTCCTGATCTTCACCTCGAAGCTACAGTTGTACCTGTAGGGGTGAGCAATGTTGGTTTAGGCTTCCTGTCCACCCGGAGCGAGGCAGCGGAGCGGAGCGAGCGAGTATTGCCGAGGGCAGTTGCGGACTGTGCGGAGCTCTTATTGGTCGAACTTCTTTTGGTTGTGGAGTCGGACTGCACCTATTGGTCGAACTTTAGCGGCATACTATCCCATCTTACAGAGGCCGGTCCGTTTCCTCGCTGCAATACTCGCTAGCTCCGCTCCGCTTCCGAAAATGTATGGATGTTTAAACTAGCTCGCAAATCCCTGTCCACTGGAGCGAAGCGGAGATATTATGCGGTCCTATTGATTAATAATTCTTCGTTTCTCCGCTCTGCTTCAGTGGACATGCAGCCTTATATCAAAACCATCTATTAAGGTACAAATAGTTTGTGTCTCGTTCTTGGCCGTGCCATAATGCCGAGAGGATTTCAATTGAATTTGAAATGGATACACATACAGACAAAAGGTCCGAATTTTTGATCTTCCATTTATTTTGCCACTCATCTTTTTTGTTAAATTAATTTGTGAATTATTTATTTATGCTTTATTCCAAAACCTTAAAAAAAGGATTACAAAAAGGCGGACTTAACATCATTTGGAAACTCTCTCCCGGTACACCCGGGACTTGGTGAGAGAGTTTTAGATAAATTTTGTTTTTTCGGTGAATAAATTTGTTTTCCTCCTCTTTCTCTCCCTCACCTGGCCAGCAGCACTATCCACTTGCCGGTGAAGTTGTCGGTGGTGGGGGGCGCCGGGAGGGCGGAGCACCCGTCCTCGGGCTCCCCCTGCACCAGCATCCCGCGGAGGCCGTCCACCGGCAGCTCATCGCCGAAGGTGGCGGGGATGTCCCGGAACTCCTCCGTTATCTGCGGGGCGGTATAACGCACGTAATGTGAACATATCCCAATTAACAAAACACAAAATTGACTTCAAATACCTCACTCACATACACACACATTTTCTATTTCATTTTGAAGAGTTTCCTGGTGTATCTTTTTTTTTATTTGAGAAGGTGGCAAGAGAGCTGGTATTTCATCCGTTGTTAAGCGATAACCGCCGCCCATGGCCATTTGCAACACCCGTAGTGGTAATAGATCCAATGCCCTTACCACTCCCACCAGACGAATCGCAGAAGTATAATACTTTCACTTCACGCCGGTCCTCCGTGAGGTCGCGGTACTTCCCCGGAAGCACCTGCCCATTAGAGCGACAGCGAAGACTGTTGTATGGCTCTATCACAGATTGTCTTGCAAATGGTTCTACCAACCTTGCAAACAGTAGACCCCAGTTATTTCAATGAGTGTAAACTATGAGGGGAAGACACTGTATTATTATTATTATTATTTCACTCAAAAGACAAAACGCCACAGTGTAATAATCCCACTTCACGCTGTGACGCCGCGGTTCTTCCCCGGCCGAGACTGTCTATTCATGATATAGCGGGAGGCGCTGCGGTGCCTATCTGTGTTATCCCAATTAAATTCCATACAACTATGCATTTGCTTAGCGTCCGTTACCGATAGTGAATTCTAAACATCGTTGAACAAAAAGTAATCAAGCAGTAATAACAAGATGGGGAAGAAAGGTTCTTGAGTGGTAATTTCGTACTAGCTATCGCAATTGCAGGGGACCCCCCACTAGATGGAGTGGCGACCTGTGCAAGTGTGCGGGAAGTCGATGGATGCAGGTGGTTCAGGATCGTGCTTCGTGGCAGTCTGTGGGGGAGGCCTATGTTCAGCAGTGGAATCAAACAGGCTGAAATTATGATGATGATGAATAATAATTCATAATAAATACAACTAAAAGAAAACAAAACAAACTCTCTACTTTAAAAGTCGGACAAAGTTAATAAAGAACGTTTTGTATTCAATAATGTCTACAATACAATGTCTATTAATTCCTCGTTTTGATTCAGGCGTTGGTCGTTTAAATAAAGCTAATGATAGCATCCGAGACCCGAAGGTCATACAAACAGCTCAGCCCCCACTCATGTCTCGTCTAGACACGAATGTGCTCTTATATTTGTTAACATTTACGCGAAAAGGTCTCCCGTTGTAATAATATTAAAAATTGGATCCGATATTAAATGTCATCGTAGCTATGCAGATGTTTTATGCACATATCGTTGCTATGAATATTAATGAATGAATACTTATATTTATTAAGTTTCAACAAAAAACACAGTTATGTTAACAATTAAAAGAATATATATCTAAGACATGAAACCAAATAGGTATGTACTCGGTACGATTTCCCGATTTGAGTACATACCAAAAATTAAAATTATAAATAACAAACTAGACTAAGATTAACACAAAGCGGGTACATTTATTTAAGGACAATAACACAATATCGATAAGTTGTTTGATTAATACGGTTTCCGACCAGACTGCAAGAAATAAGACCAGTTTGGTAAAGGTAATTTCTTGTAGTACTTAGTATATCTACAAAGTGTATCATCGAGTCATTCAATACTGCATCGAACAAACGATAATTTCCTTGTCCAAAAATGATTCATAAACATTTACCTAACACACAGTGGCCCTGTGGTGTGTGGTGTGTACAGACTCAGATTTGACTATGACTGATATTGAACAAGAACTTTTAGTCATTACAAACCGATCTAACAGTTTAAACGACGATATTTTGCAGAATTATCAGGAAAAAGATAAGCGCGCCGGTTTTGTTTATAAACTTTAGAAAGTAAGCAGTTGATAACACTTGTTTATTTTTTAAAATTAAATGTTTTTTTTTTAATACTTGCGCATATGAAACAAACGCGTCATTTCACGGCCTTTTCAAAAGCCACTTTGGATATCGCCGAGTGACCTGATAGATTATCGTTAGTCAATTATTCAGATATTCATAGTGCCGTACTGATATATCATGTTAAGACTCCGAAACAAGGCAGAATTTTGTAAGTTCCTTTTATTGTACCCTGTCAAAAATTTGTGTGAAGGTCACTGGAAGTGATATAGTTATTATATTTTTATATATTATACATAATATTTCAACATGGCAATCGCATAAGTTAAAAATAGAGAAGTAGTTAGCAAACACATTTAATAATTTGCGTTTGTTTTGGACATAGTGGCAAACATGCTTCCAAAGTGCAGACGTCGCGTTGCCAACCTCTATTAGGGCAGGCCCCGGTCACCTAACTTATCTATGCAAAAACATATTCAAACTTTTGCATTTCGCCAATGCAAAACTATAAATTTACTTACTTCATGTCGGTGTTCTATGAAGACACTGCATGGCTCTAACGACAGTACTACTATGTATGTAGTCTGGTCTTTTCCCAGTTTAGTCCAAAGATTTATAACCAAATTTTATATCCAAATCACAGATTTATCTATGCAGTATGTGATGAGAAATTTTAAAAAACAAAGTGGATTTATCAGTTTTTGATCAGACTGATGGATATGTCCTGTATAACATAATATTTTTTCTTTCATTAAACTCCAATCTTGAACCAGTAATAAAACTTCCCCCTGTGTCTTATAAATCTTTGGATATGGATTTGTCGGTTTTCAACCAACCAAATGCATGGCCCATGAAAATTTCTAAGGATTTGTCGGTGTATTTTCCAACCATGAAAAAATTCGATCGATTTATCTGTTTATGTTCAGATTAGTGTGTTTCGAGATAGTTTAAAATTTTAGGAAATCAACTATCTTATATTTGACAATCCGAGCCTCAATTAAGACTCCTGCACGAATTAAGTGTTTGTTAATTAATAACGAACTGTGCTATACTAACGAAATGTTGCATGCCAACTATGTGCAGAACTTTCACGGCATTGATCAGCAGATGAGCGGCCATCTTAGTTCGTGACGCGGCTGCAGTCAATACACAATTTTCCCGCCCAATTACTCGCACGGCAAAATGGCGGCGCGAATCCTCGCCCCTGCATCGCATGCGAGTGACCTTCAGCCGATACCACTTTTCCCCCTACCGCAGCCCGTTGATCTTGTCATGTATCGGAATAATGGCGTATCGCGCGACAGCCTCGTACGAAAATCTACTACCGAAGGTTTCCTGATACGAAAATGAGACGGTGGTTGTAAACGAATTCTCTGATAATGACAAGCGAATGCATTTTCTCCCCACTTGACAAAAAAAACTAACTGAAGAAGTGGATAGAAACAGAAAATGGGTGTCGTCTTGGCCGCCAGTTCATCACTGTTCTTATTTATGAGCAATTAGTTAAAAATAAAAAGATTTATGAAAGTCTTTTGATGTATTTTCAATTATCAAAAAAATTGAAATATACTTTCGCGGTGAAGATATCGGCCGCTTAGCTTAGTGGGTAGAGACGGAAGACTCAGGTTCGAATTCACCGGGGATTTTTTTTTTGACAAATTAAGTACATATATAACAATAATTCTTTCAAGCAATAATTCTTCAGCGTGTCCATAACGATATTAATAATACACACACTATATCAGGAATAGCAAACAAGTGACATTGAACGCGGGTTCAATGTTGCAACATATGATATTGTTCGCGGCTTACACTTGATCGTGCTATTAGCAAATAAGATTACAAACTGCGTAAACAAAACTCTTCACTCGGAATAGCTACAGATAATAAAATCGAACGGGGCTTCATTCGCGTTTGATATAAATAATGTATACTTTCTGTTCACAAAGATACGTTTTCCAGATTATACAGCGTGTCGTTACCACCGCGACAATAAATGAACACACGTCTAACGCTACTTGCCAATAATCATAAAAAAATATTAACGTTAAAAAAATCCATAATTAAAAAAAATATTTTTCAAACAAACTAATTAAGTAAAAATGAAACAAAATTTGTAACATCCTATACAACTACAACTGACTGATTCATACATTCCGAGACTTTTTCATTCGTTGCCACAGCGTCACATTACAAGCCACTCTCCTTCTAACAGTATGTTTTGTCTCTTTTAAATTCATTCAACCCATTCATATGCTTCGTGATCTTTACAAATGAACTTTACGTTACAGTTTTATACGTAAGGGTGTTCTAAAATTCTTTGTTTTGGAAAATTTAATAACTCTGTAAATATTATATGTATGTTTAAAGAAAGTAAATGTTTAATACAATTTTAAAAATTTATCGTCTATTTTTTAAAAAGTAAAAAAAGTAACAGCCTATACATGTCCCACTGCTGGGCAAAGGCCTCCTCTATACAGAGGGTATCAGGGCATAGTCCACCACGCGGCCCCACTGCGGATTGGCGGACTTCACATATTTTCGAAATACATTTTTTTTTTGTTATTATTCCGAAAATATGCAGGTTTCCTCACGATGTTTTCCTTCACCGCGGAGCACGTGATATTCAGCACTTAAAGTTAAAAACTTCATTGGTGCCGGCACCGGGGATCGAACTCAGGTTGCTCGAGTATACATTGAATTAAGGCGAGCGCCCGGACACTGAGCTATCACGGCTCTCTATGTGTGTTCAATTATTGTCGCGTTTGTAAAGACACGCTGTTTATATAGATTTGGATTATTTAAGCAAAAACAAAAGAATAACACATTTATTTTAAAGAACTATTAATTACAAATTGTGATATTCATTTCAATATATTTAAATAAACCATATTATAATACTACCATAATTAAGGTTTATCTGAAAATAAAAATATAATATTAAACGTGTACGAGAAATTGCATTCAATTATTTCTTTCTAAAATATCGAGACATACCTATTAAATAAATTGAAACGTATTCGCACCAATAAAAAATCAAACGCACTGACTGGTAAATAAAATTAAGCACAAATTACTAAAGAGTTTGGATTAAACACTTTTTTTTTAATACTCTTCCACACTGGCCAGTAATGAAGCCTGATAGATCAGATGACTACGATGTACTAAGTGCTCTATGAGCAATTGGAAATATCCCCTCGTTAAATCGATAAGTTATCTGTCACTTCATTTTAAATATAGTACCGGTTCGTCTGTTCTGTCGCGTTTCTATTTTTAAAAATCGTATATAATACTGATGAAATCAAAACAAGTTTAAACAGCCGTATTAAAAAAAAAATAACTTTAAATGCTGCTATTATCACCTATAACAATGAAAAACACTACCGTAGATAAAGATTACAATTTACATAAAAATATATCGAAAAAATACGACACTGAAGATAATCTTATCAATGCTAACATTCCCGAATGCGATCAGTGTGGTTCTTCCGGTATCAGAGTATAAAGGTTTAAAGGTTTAACGAGACCTACATTCTTAGCTACTGATTTCTGTTAACTGGATAATACTAGACAATACCACAGATGTTACTACTCGATTTACTAGTACTTTAGGGAGTAAAGAGTCAAACAATACTATTACAACTCGCCAGCCATTCAGTTTTCGCTTTTAAAGCTAAATCTACGCGTACGCGTTAACGGTGGTAGAGCCACGCAGTAGCTTCGGCTGTTGCACGAATGGGCAGGCTCGTCCGTGTACGTACCACGACCTCACAGAAGACCGGCGTAAAGTGGAAGTATAACACTTTCGCGTTTCGTCTGGTGAGTGAGGTGGCCGGAGCCCAATTTTCAAAAAGGTTGTCAACGCATCTGCAACCCTCGGGTGTAACAGATGTCCATGGGCGGCGGTCCACTTAACATCAGGTGAACCGTCTGCTCGCATGGCAATTTTTCACATAAAAACAAAAAAAAATCTCACCCGTCCGCGTGCAAACACTAGTGATAAAACAAATTCTGCAGATATATCGGGTGATTCACGATTTATCGGTAATGCACTTGCACCATTGAATGTGGACATGATATTTACGGTTGTACACGCTGAGGTGGTTACCCTCCTATTACATGTCAAAACACATCTAGAGGGAACAAATACATCTAACAAATGAAAGTATAAAAAACAAGAGAAAGGACGCAGAAAATAATTTGTATTAAGTATAAATATATTGCCAAGTGCGAGTCGGACTCGCAAACGATGGGTGCCATGTGTACATTATCTATAACAACGGCAAAAAAATCACGTCTGTTGTATGAGAGCTCCACTTAAATATTTTTAATTCTGGTTTTTTAGTATTTGTGGATATAGCGGCAACAGAAATACAACATCTGCGAAAATTTCAACCGTCCAACTATCACGGTTCATGAGATACAGCCGGGTGGCAGAGGGACAGACATACAGACCGACGGATAGACAGCGGAGCTCTAGAAATAGGGTCCTTTTTTACCCTTTGGGTACGGAACACTAAAAGTTGCAGCACGTGTTACCTTCGAAAATGAATCTTAACACGCTAAAAACAAGATTTAATATCAAAGCAGACGTCCCGAGGAAGTAGCAACAAAGTAAGATGTATTAATTGTAGAATTTATGCAACTGGCATATTTTTTAATTAATTAACCTTTGTTATCTTAACGGTTCCATCGACCAACGTGAAGGAGACAATGTTATTGTTTTCTCAATGCGCTCTTGAATTAATCTATTCCGTTAGTGACTGCTGCTTAAAAGAGACTGCACGTAAGCTAATCTTCTTGTATTTCAATATTCCATTTCAATTATTACCACCCGCCTGCTAGAGATGCCAATAATTTGATGAAACTTGTCGACTATTTATAAGTACATATTGGTAAAAACTGCTTAATTTTAAAGATCATTGTCGTTAATGTGGGTCATGCGGTTCATAGAGTCTTGTTTATTAGACAAATTGACGACTAATAACCGGTTTCAATATTCTATCTATCTGTAGATTTGGTAACTAGTGATAAGTATTTGACATTAGCTCCATGATAGTTACATAAAAAATTCTATCTCCAATAGCCAAATGTACAGATAGAATATTGAAACCGCCCATAAGACAGCTTGGATTGGATCTCTTTTTATGATAACTGATATAATCTTCATCAACCTCCTGTCTAGGTGAGGTAGGCACAACATTTAAATCATATTGTAAGTGGTTTTGGCTAGATTTTTTACGACCGGCTGCCTGCCAAACGTCAACTCACATTGGGAACAAACACCCCGATACGTAACAATTATCTGTGAGTCACACAATTACTTGTCCGTGTGGGATCGAACCCACGACTTTCTTAATCTTTAAGGTAAGTTTTCTTCTTCTCCACATGCCATCGCGCCCTTTTCTATAAAATGCCACCATCTATTTGAAAAACAGACCCCACAAGAGGGGTGGAATTTTTAAAAGGTCCCTCGGACTGGATTCGTACAGCATAAAAAGGTCGTCCTTGCATGATTTTGCTAACCCTGAAGGGTTGGTCTCGAGTTTATAGAATAGGGCTAAGGATTTTTTGTCGTAAAAAGCTGATCAAGTGCGACACTGGGTTCATGGGATCGGGATTTGGATCTTTTGATCCTCCCGTTCGTTTCGTAGATCTTGGATCTCATCGAACTGAGCGTTGCGAGGGTTTTAAGTTGACAAAGGTCCTCCAGTATCAGTGCAAAATAAAACGTTTTTTATATCAGATGCATTTTATACGACTACCATAGGGAATACCACACATTTATGAAAGTATCTGGAGGACTGAGCTTTGCTCGGGTTTTTTTTGGTAAATCATGTATTTTGGAAATAAAAATATAAAAAATAAAGAAAATGATCTGAAATTGAAAAAAAGTAAAAAAAAACCGCGGCCGGTCTGTTTTGGGTACGCCTGATTTCCGTCCGAGCTATAACATTTTTTTTTTGCGGCGAAATTTACTGTCATATTTGAATGATATTTTTCATTCCCTGAAAACAGGGATAAAAGGACATTTTCCAAAAATGAAACCTAGCTAGATCGATTTTTCGTCCCCGAATCTATATTACATACTAAATTTCATGAAAATCGCTGGAGCCGTTTCCGAGATTCTGATTATATATATTGGATTAAGGATAAGATGTAACACAGAGTACAAAAATCAACTTATAATCTGTGGTACACACTTACAGTACTTCGTACATATGAATTCGATATGCATTTGACATTGATATGGAAATGGAACGCCCACGTTATACTGTGTCACGCGGCCTTGAGGGCGAAAAGTACCAACAATTGTTTAATCAACTTTGTTACAGATAACAAGGATTGCATGTATATTTAAACAATCAGGTGATTCGTCGGATTTTAAGCACTTACGGGACGCGTTCTTAGCCTTATATTTAGGGAGGGGGCCTCGTATACCGCACCTCAGGAAATGAAATAGCACGATTAGGTAGTAATAAGAGTACGCGGAGGTTCAGGCTAGGCGCCCGGTGCGTCAGGCCACCTCGAGCCCGTCGGAACTGTAAAGGCCCCCCCCTAACGCCAACAGTGGCTCATCCAGCCCAAAAAAAAAACGATTAGGTACGTTTATTCACATGTAATGCCGTGATACCTCCCCGGTCGATATGTTCGTGAAAAAGCAGGAGTTTTAATTCCACATACTAGATGATAGCTTGCTAAATGTTAATGCGCGTGCTAAAGATAGGGAAATTTCAGGGAATGGAGAATTATGCCCATGGCGGCTTCGGGTGCCAGCGTAAATTATTTAAAAACATATTCTTAGACTCTTCTGAACATTTGGAGTTCATTCGTCGGACGGCACTAAAATACCAGCGTATTCTAAAAACTTCTTCGATTCCTGACTGGGGAAATTGATTTCTTTTCGGAAATCAGCTTTGGGACCGGAAATGATTTGTTTGATGAATAATTAAAAATTATCATTTCCTGATTTATAATGGATAACTTAGCATTTTATTGAATTTCATGATTCTGGGTCGAAGCCAAGTACGAGTAAGTACATGTTGTACAAACACTTTAAGTTTGACTGTACCGACGGGTACCGGTTAGTGTTACGTCGCCTCCGAGTAATCGGGTTTGTACAATAGCTAATCGCGCACCACAGCCTCGTACCATCGGTTACCGTCGGAATCGCTTGAGCGGGCATCGGCGCACGCCACCGCAATCTAGCGGATTCCTCTACGCGTGACCGCTCCGTGCGTAATATCATTAACATAGCTAATGCGGTGGCAACGTATGAACCGCGTTCCATTCTCACACAATTAACTGTGGTAGGGCCACGCAACAGTCTTCGCTGTTGCACAAATGGGCAGGTGCGTCCGGGTTAGTGCCACGGCGTCAGAGAAGAGTGGCGTTGAAGTGGAAGTGTTGTTCTGCGTTCCGTCTGATGAGTGAGGTAGCCGAGGCACTTTATTAGCCAGCTCGTTTGTCACTTCCTCACATAAAAAAGTCTTTTTTTTTTCTTTGGAAAATATACGTGTATTTTGGCGCAAAAAATCCATCAATTTGAATATTTATAATTTTGATATGCCAAGTAACAAACGTAGAGTGTCCGGCCTAATTTTTTGACCTCGGCGCATTCGGGTAAAAAACGATCAATTTATCTCTTATTACCCCAATAAATAGACTTAGATTATGACGTCAACATTTATTTCACTAAAATTGTCTATTATTAATTGGACACAAATACGAGGAAGCGATTTTGCAATGGAGAGCTAATCAACCACTGGAATTGAAACCAGCGATTTTGTAGTGTAGAGAAGATACGATGTTTTATTATACTGGGGGATATTCATTTGTTTTCTCGTCTGGTTGGGTTTATAAATAAAAATATACATATATAAATAGGACCCAACCAGACGGAAGCCCTCGGCAGGGGAGACCAAACGGCCGTGGGTTAGGGCGAAAGGGAGAGAAACCGGCGGACGATGCGGGCGGTATCGAGGAGCACCGCCTTCTGCATTTGAGCCTGGATTGGAGCGATCCGTCCCGGAGTCCCAGTCGCCTCAGATGTTTAGAGAGGCTGACTGGGATCAACCCATTCGCAGACACGACTATCGGGATAATTTCGGTTGGCACACCACCCCACATGTCGGTCACCTCGTGAGCCAGGTCCAGATACTTCTTATTATACTTATTAATATAATTATTTGCTGTGTACTCTGATTACAACGGCAGGAAAATGTTTGTCACTTAACAATCTTGTTCACTTTTCGAATTTGAAAATTGTTATGCAGACCTATCATTTAAATGTGAGATTCATAAACGGACGATTGTCCATTATAGTAGTTTCAAATTTACTTCGTCTAACTAACAATAAGGCTCATCCGCAGAGCACCACGATCTCACAGAAGACCGGCTTGAAGTGGAAGTGAGACTCTGACTAGTGAGCTACCGGTGAAATAACCGGTAACCTATTTTTATTAAAAGGCGGCAACACAACTGCAACCCTACAGTGTTGCAGATGTCCATGACCATCAAACGACTGAATGACCAGCAAGGGTGCCTGGCCACTGCTGTAAATGTAAACGTTAACGATAAATGCGTTAGGTTATGAATTTCATTGTTCAATTCATATATTCAGATATTTTGAGTCGTGCCGTGAACATGTGCGAAAGAGACACACGTATAGAGAGAAAGAGAGTGGGCTCACCGTGTGCGGCGTCTCCACCGTGTAAACGAGCACGCTGCCGGCGGCGTGCGCTAGCAGCCCCATGAGGCAGGCGGCGACGGCGCGTAGCATGACGCTATATCATCACGCGCCTTGGAGTGACGGGCATCGGCTGTCACGTGTCCCGGGCGCCGGCGCAGCTCGCGTGTCGACTAGCGGGCATGTTACTTACCAACGGCTGGAAAGGGACAGTTACATTCTATAGAAGAACAAAGGCTCCAAAGTCTCAAATTTAGTCAGTAACAACATGCGTTCAGTCTGGTCTGTGATGGTCTGCCTTTAAGCAGGGCCGGATTTAGGGGAGGGCAACCGGGTTGTGGCGGGACCTCCACAATAGAGATTATACAGCGTATCGTTACCATCGCGACAATAAATGAACACACGTCTATGGCTACTTGCCAATAATCATAAAAAAATATTAACGTTAAACAAAATCCATAATTAAAAAAAAATATTTTTCAAAGAAACTAATTAAGTAAAAAAGAAACAAAATTTGTAACACCCTATACAACTCGCTCACAGCGTCATATTACAAGCCTCTCCTTCTAACAGTATGTTTTGTCTCTTTTAAATTCATTCAACCCATTCATATGCTTTGTAACCTTTACAAATGAACTTTACGTTACACTTTTATAGGTAAGGATGTTCTAAAATTCTTTGTTTTGAAAAATTTAATAACTCTGTAAATATTGATGTTTTAAGAATTTAAATGTTTAATACAACTTTAAAAAGTTATCCCCTATATGTGTGTTCATTTATTGTCGCGATGGTAACGACACGCTGTATATTTTATATGTTCTTAAAATAATAAAAGAATCTATACTTGGTTTCACAAAAAATTATTTATTAGAAAACTCGACTAAACAAAATTGTTCATTTTATTTGGAAAATAATTTGGGGCCAAGGGGCCTCCACTCCTTTGTTGCTCCCAGGCCTCCAGACCTCTAAATCCGGCACTGCCCTTAAGTGTTGGCCTCGCCTACCGTGGATGTCCTGGCCATCAGGTGAATGAAAGACCTGCATGTGTCATTTTCTCTTATAAGTTTGAAAACGGTAAATATGAGCGAAGTTCTTTTTCATCAGAGCTGATAAGAATATGACCGACCACTTGTGAGGTGAAAATATTCAGAAGTCTGTGACCACATTTTTAAATTGCTGGTGTTTGATCAAGGGGTCAGACGGCAACGCCAAACGACAACGCCAACGACGCTATGTATCCCCGCAAACAAAAAACGCATTAAGCCCTATCAATCTTTTCAAGACACACATTTTAAAATTGGGAAATCATCTCAGGATATAAATCAACATATTTTCAATACAAATAATAATGTAGGAATGTGCGTAGGTGTCAATTGGAGTTTATATTTCATCTAAATTTAAACTGCACGTACTATTCCTAAATATTCCTTATTTAAGTAATATTAAAATCGAGAAATACTTTATCTTCACAGTCGGTCAGAAGCAAAGATTATTCAAATGTTAATTGTACGCATAGTGAATGGTCTTTACGTTCGAAGAAGAGATATGGAGGCCTCCATCAATGACAGTGTCCAGGTGCTCGCTTTTAATTTGAATATACAAAACAATTGCACAAAAATATAGTTTCAATATACTTGAGCCAGCTGAGTTCAAAACTAACAATTTCATTGGTCTGATGCCCTCTGTCCAAAGTCCTTTGCCCAGCATTGGAACTTGTATAGGTTGTAATTGTAACTTTTTTTAGGCTTCTATACAAATCGTGCGAGAGAAAAAAAGCGATGAGTCATTGTAATAATTGAACATATGGCAGTATGAACCACGTATGAGTTTTAACATAGTCATGTTCAATGGCATTTAAGTGGATCTATCCCGTTAGTGATGAAAAAGTATCAACGCCACTTATATTCCGTGTTGGGGCCGTGGAGTGTAATTCGCGAGTTTTAATTATACATAATTTTATTTATGCATCAAAACTACCAATCAGCCAATCGATCCCGCGCGAATTGTGTCGTGACCTTGGTGACCTGGCGCAACCTTTGGTGTTAAATAATATTTGAGGAGGTGACATCACTGCGATCTTTACAAAACGGCTCCAAAAGCTTGATTATTTTTCTATTGCGGTACAAGTTCGGTAATAATGAAAGTAGTTCTTATAATAGCAAACAAAATTTTGATAAAATGACGTCAATGCGTTGCCAACTGCAAATAACAGAGAAACTATTGGTATTTAAAAACCCACTGGTTTTTAGTGTTTAAGAACATTAAAAATTAACAAAGGCTCAACAGGTAACCGTGATAGGGCCACGCAACAGCTTCGGCTGTTGCACGAACGGGCAGGTCCATCTGGGTAAGTATGAAGACCAGCATGAAGTGGAAATATCATCCACATTTCGTCTGGTCAGTGGCCGGGGCCAACTTTATTAATAGGTCGCAACGCATCTGCAACCCTAAGTCCGTTACCACCGTTTCACATAAAAAAAGCGATTTGAGAAGTGTGTAACGGTGGAAGAGAAACTTATGTGAAGTGATAGTATTATGTTTTGTGTTTCTTATGGTGAGCGAGGTAACTTTTAGTAGCCCGCGCTTTTAAAGGTTAGCAATACATTTATTACTACACCCAGAGGTGAAGCCTATATCTATGGGAGACAGTAACCTGTTAATATCAGGTGTATCCCCCAGTAGTTACCTTTTAACATCAAGAGGATGTTTTAGAAACACCAAAGCATAGAGCCACAACTAGATCTAGAACATTCAGTTATAGTCAAAAATATATTTATAGAATACCCATAAGACCTTATTTGAATATACGCAAATAAATATGAGGAAAAAACTTAGGTAATTATTGTTTATTTAAATAAAAAAGAGGATGATCTAGCCACACCTTGGTTATTAACCAGCAAAAGTGAAATAAATGATTTCAAAAATGCAGAATGAATATTATTCACAGTTAGAGATACATTGACCTTATGTTATAGAAACTGGTATAAATAAAATTTGCATATTCTGCACATTTTGTATAGTTTTGCCTTTCCATACTTATTATATTATACTTTTATAGTAAAAAAGTCCAAGAAATCAGTAAGTTAAAGATATAAATGTTTTGTTACTAAGCAATAACATGTGTGTAGTCAAAATAAGTTAGTTAAGTACCAAAGATCATCCTTTTATTATCAATCCATTCTTCTTTTTCAAAACATACTGCAAAGTATTGTATAGATTAGTTAGTATATAGGAAATTTGAAGTGAAATTGGTGATGATTTTAATATTAATATTAAATTTATAATTTTAATATTATTCATGAAATATAGTTACAATTACATTTATTTACTTTTATTGCAATTACCTTAAGTAAGGATTACAAAGGGTGAACTTAATGCCTTTTGGCACTCTCCCAGTCAACCCGGGGCATGGTGAGAAATTGTGGTAGGTGCAATAATTATATTAATTATTTTTATGTTTTGACAATATACAATATATACATGCATATAAATGTACAAGTAATTAAACACATATATACATAATACATGTTTATTTCACCACATAAATAGTATATATGTATACATTTTTATATACTATATATGTGGTGAAATAAAACGTAGTGGCAATGATAACAACAACATTCTAGCTTCATATTGATCATTTAAGTAAAAGTCACAAACCAAGCGTTTAAATGATGTCTTGTTACAGGCCCTACTATGTCATTAGGCAAGAAGTTCCAAAGCAGTGTAGCCTGAACAGTGACGAAACTGGTATTGTGAGAAGGAATAGTTATCTTAAGATTAGATAAGAAACGGAGATCTCTTTCACTGTTCATCGAAAGCTATTTAAACTTGTCTTGAGAAGCTGGATTGTTTATAATTGAGAAAAGAACAAACAGAATTCTAGAGTTACACCTTTTATAATAATCAAATGAAAACCAAATATATCTTATGCAATTATTGTAAAGGCACTCTAGCTTGTTCAGAAGATCTTTTTTTATGTCTGGGTAATAAAAAATACATTTAAATATAATTATATATTATGACCACATTTAAGACAAAATAACTCTAAAAACCATAAACTATGTATCCCAGTACAATCTTTGATCTGATGATGTTTTTGGATCAAACTATACAGCAATGTAAAGCTATATTGGTCAAACCACATAAACACCAACATTCTTGCCCGAGCCATCAGTTAAAAAACAAAAGCTTAATTATCTTCAAATTTACTTTACAATGATGGCTAAATTAGAAGCCCATTTATTACATCCATTATTTTACATTAAAATAAATTATCTTTTAGATATAATCTACAAGTTGAAATTGTGATAAAGTAATTACTTTAGAAACCAGAAAACCAATCAAGTTCACATATAAAACAGATTTCAAGATAATTTAGTTTCTAAAGAAAAAGTTAAATTATACATTTTGTGCCATCGAAGGTTAGAACATTTTAAATTTAATCATTGCTTCTTATTAATCTGATAAGATTGGTTTTAAATGAGTTATGCACATAATAAGAATCTGGTACATTATTTTTGGCTTGTAATAGTGTTTATAGAATATGATATATTGAATAAAACCCTATATATTGCACACATAACCATGTGAAGTTTTAGTAAAAAATTGCTTTTGTGAAATATTAAATATAACATGATGAGAAACAAATGGCATACCTATTTAGAATGTTACATTACTATTATTATATTTAGTAAGAAGAAATATTTTAGAGTATGTTGAGTTTGCTATTAAATATTTTTTTTTGCAAAATATCACTTGTAAAATTGGCAAAATCAAAATGGTTGTATTCTTATCAAAATATGTGAACAAAATTTAGGACAATCGGAGGAGATAATGAAGATCACTCAATGTCTATGTATACAACGGGTACATTGTTTTGAAAGTGATAACACTGAGTTTCGTAATCAAAACATTACCTATGCTTTTGGGGTTCGTATAAATAATGTAAAAGAGCATTGTAACACATCAATCTAATTAAACAGTTAGGACATATTGGTCTTGAGTCACGTGCAATAACCATCATAACTTATTTTCATTATATTGTTTCTACGATCAAAGCCAGAAAAAATATCTAAACGCTCGGTTATAAGAACATACAAGAAACAACAAACTGTACTTACAATTGAAACAATAACAGTGCCACTATCAATACTATTATATCGAGTCTGTAATTGAACACAATATCATTAGAATTTGACAAAGAAATAATTCATAAAGTATTACTACGAACTACGACTGAATCACTTTTAGGAAAAATCAAGTTAAATTAAATGTCAACGAGCATACGTTCTTAACTCTTACTTTTATGTTTCTTTAAAAATTATTTTTTAATATATTTTGTCAATAAAATAGAACATACAATTCAGTGTTACATTTTGAATGAAAATTTTATTTAGTGCTTAATAGTTATTTACAAAAAACATATTTACTTCACTGTACAAACTAAATAGTAAAAATGTAAATTGATTTCTGAACGCACCCATCATTATAATGAGTAGGTGAATTCTGGTTTTGCCTGCAACCTGTTTAATAATTAGTATGTAAACCATTAAATAAATAAATGGTCTAAAAAATAAGCATTTTCCATATTTACCGTAGACATATCTTTAATAAAATTAATATGTTTTGTGAAAAAAATAAGGTAAATTAATTTACAAAAGGGGCGTTTGCGCCTAACGCAATATAATAGCAATAACAATCGTAAAACAAATTTTGCCTTTTAATTCTTACCTTTTAATTTCATTCTCATTTTTTGGAAGAAAAGGGGTTTATTTTTGGATGTTTCTTAATTTTACTCTTTAATGATTTGATAGTCATTTTCAATATGTTTTGGCGTGATTCTTTTACTTCTAGTAGTAATTCGCACTTAACATGAAATTTTAAGAGTTTAGAAAAGTTTATTTTTCTAATAGACAAATTTTCGGAAAAATTTTTTTTGGAACTATAAGGGTTCGAACCTATATCTTATGAGCATGACCAAATAGAAGAAAAGGAAACACGGAAATTTTATGGATAATTTAAGTCACATTTAAATTATATATATATGATAATTTTTTATCGCTGGTTGCTAAACTTTTTCGGTTTAACCACGATGTTGTCGCTTCAAGATGTCTTGTACCTATAGCTAAAGTTGGTAATCAAATGTAGAGTCATGAAATGAAATATTTCTATGTATTCATCTATTTTTAGATTTTTAAGTAGTGTTAACTAAGTATTATCTAATTTGATACAATTGTGGTAGTTTCTTCTACATACCGTTTGAAAAAACGTTGATTTGTGTTGTTGAGCGGTCCGAAATGTTTCCTCATTTTTCTACCGATAAGTATAGGAAAAGCACCCAAAGTTCAATTTAAAAATGGGGAATTTATTTTGACAAAAACGGTAAAACTTTATGCTTTTGTATGTCTTCTGAGCGCTAAAGGGTTCATGATGGTGACACACAACGTGGTGAGTCCGCTTACAATTGAGTGTAATGGAGCATTGAGTTTCTGTTTTTGAGGACGCTATACAGTTTTGGGGAATTCTCTATAGGTATTTTATTTCATATTATTTAACGATTGTTATTCATTATATCATAAACGATTGCAGTATTATTTAACATGATGATATATATATTTTAAGTCATTATGGCTCAATAAGCTTTTGTCTTTTGTGTGATATTTTTATCTTTACCTTTTGTGAGGAAATTTTTTGAATTTTTGCGAAGGACTCTGTGACAATCTATGTACATCTTATGCTTACGATGTCCAATGTATAATTTTTCGGGTTCCGTACCCCAAAAGGTAAAAAAGGAACCCTTATAAGAACACTCACTCGTCCGTCTGTATGTCCGTGTGTTTGATTGACCCCTGATTTTCTCAGGAACGGGTGGACCTAGCAAGTTTAAATTTATACTAGACTAGCGACCCGCCCCGGCTTCGCACGGGTGCAATGCTGAATGTTTGTTTTCGACATTACATTAGAAACCTCTTAAATTATCAGTGTTTCTCTACTATATTATGAAAGAATTATTCATATAAACCTTCCTGTTGAATCACTCAATCTACTAAAGAAAACCGCATCAATATCCGTTGCGTAGTTTTAAAGATCTATATATAGGGACAGACAAACAGCGCGACGACTTCGTTTTGTACTATGTATTGATACTATGTCAATAGCTGTATTAAAATCATGTTCACGAGTCAATACATAAAAAAGATATGGGCAAATTTACGCGAAAATTTGTAAGTACCAAAATTTACCTTAATTTTTTAAAGCAAAATTGACAATTATTCTAGTTTAACCGGAAGTACTTTATAGGTCGACAACCTATATGATAGTTCCCGTTGACCTAGAATTAGTAAATTTGGCAAAACGCAAGGTCTTTAAAAAATCCAATACACAAAAAAAAGTTGAAAATTAAGATTAAGAAGTTGACGCCAATTAAAATAGTCCTCTAAGTTATATGGGCGCTTATACAAATACAATTACATAATAGATAATGCTACGGAACCCTTCGTACGCGAGTCCGACTAGCACTTGGCTGTTTTTTTTACTATTAAATAAACACTACACACTTCATTTTTGTTTTGACAAATTAACCTATTCAATTTTAGAATATATTTTACTTAGCTTTGGCAAAGATGGCATAAACTAATTTCATGTGAACTTACTTTTATAGGTAGATTATATTTATATATAAGAAAAAGAATATCATGGTTATAAAACGCGTAACATGTATGTACGTAGAATATAGCAGTGATCGTAGTAATATTAATATCTTATTATGATAAAATAGTAATGATTAAAGATATAATTTTATCTGAATAATAAAATATAAGCATAAATTTTCTAATTATCTGAAAATTGATTAGTTTGCTATTAATTTATCTGCAGTACGGACGTATTTGTATCAGATCGCAATGGCTGGTGATAATGAAATAACTGTAAATGGAACTAGAACGGTATGTTTTTCTTTGTTTTATAAAGGAAATATTAAAAATACTTTGCAAATTATCTTAGAACTGGTCTAATGCTTTCCTTTCTTAGTGTAGGAGCAAACGAGGGTTGGTTATTTGTAGAACGAATGGACAATAACTAATGGTTAACAAATGTATTTTCATGAATTTTGCGATAACATGGGAAATTACTTTCGTTTTTATGATGTTTATCGTTTTATCGATCTGAACAAAAACATACTTAATTACTCATGTATATAAAGAGGTTGAAATAAAAACAAATATCGCCACTAGTGTTTTATTACTTGAAAGTTATGTTACAAGACTTGTGACATGCTTCCTTTTACAGAGTGGCAGGGCAGAGTCTGCTGATACTCTTTCAATGTCAGAACGGACTTAATTTTAACACTTACGCTCGGTTTCTGAAACACTGATCATCGTAGATGTCAACTAATCAGCTGTCAAATGGTTTTCAAATTTCATTTTAGTTGCCAAAATGATGGTTAAACTTTTTGGATTGATCGTTCTGATCATTAAAAAATCATTCCCGTCAATTCAGAGAGTTTAACCGTCCTGACGGTTTAAGCCTTTTGACGGCTGATTAGTTGAGATCTACGATGATCAGTGTTTCAGAAACCGGCCGTTAAAATTGTAATAAATCATAGAAGAATTAAATTGGATTCAGCATCGGGATTTGAACTTGATTTGAATACTGAAACAGTTTTTCCGGGTGCTATCCCATAATTTGGTATACCTATTTCAGCAACCAACCAAACTTTTTTTAAAGAAAGGAAAAATATGTAATTTGTTTTATAATAATTTATATTATTTTTTTACGTAACTTTATAATCAGTCATGTTTCTGATGGAGCTAATTTTCGAGTCCAGGAAACCGAAGACAGTCCAAGAGAAATCGGCGCGGCCTTGGAAAAGGTGATTGAACATGTCGGTGAAATGGGGCTATATCAAAAGCTGCTGTTCTTCAGCATGCTCCCCTTCGGAATGGTGTGGTCTTTCGTGTACTTCAGTCAGATGTTCATCACGGCCACCCCGCAAGAGCACTGGTGTCGCGTTCCAGAGTTAGAGGATCTAAGCGTGGAATTGAGGTAATAACGGTTCTTTAATTTACTATTACCAGTATTAGCCCAGGGGTCGAATTAGGACTATACGGAAATTTGATGAAACCATTATATGTTATACTAGTTGTTGCCCGCGATTACGTCTGCGTAGAATAGGCTGAAGACGTTCAGACAGATGTCTTCTTTCTGTTATATACATAAATATATGTATATAATTTATAGCCTGTGTTTTATTCTGATCTATAAGCTATATTATTGTAAAATTTCATTAAAATCCATTCAGTAGTTTTTGTATGAAAGAGTAACAAACATCCATCCATATATACAAACTTTCGCCTTTATAATATTAGTAAGAATTATTAATATTATTTATGTTATCCAACAGATTTCACTACTCATACATTCGTTCATTGCATATAGAATATCACCTTCATAAAGGTAAGGAAGAAACTGTTTAAATTTTAGTGAAAACACTAAAGAAAAAAAAATCGCTTGACAAGCAGAGGACACTTAAATACACTGAATTATTTTGTCTTTACCCATTGCTCACTTATTACTTCTCTATATTATACATTATTTATTATTTTCTATATTATGTAAGTTCCTACGTAAAGAGAAAAAATGGATTCTTTTTAAAAATACTACGCAAGCAGGGGTGCGACATTTGGCATAGTTAAAGTTTGTATCGAGAATAATTGCAGTATGTTAAAATTTAAGTATAATATATATTTATTTATATACATAAAAACTATTCTTTATTTATGTCCATACGGATAATGTGAAATAAGTAATATGTTATTATTTACTAATATATTTGCTGACAAATTGTTGAAAAAGTGTATATATTCGCCAAATAATATTAAGTTTGTGTTCTTTTATGTACAAAAAATCTTGAGTGCAGAGACTAGCACTAACAATAAAAATAAAAATTTAATCTTAAAAAGTTATAAGAGCTACGGCGACATCTCTCATTACAAATATTCATTGTTGAATGTTCTCTGTAAGGTGTTGTATGTGGTAAAGAATTCACACTAGATGGCGCCAAGCATTGCTAAAAATGCAAAAGAAAGAACGAAAATAGATGCCGAGATTTTCGCGCCGTGAGGTCATCGGCCGCTTAGCTTAGTTGTTAAAGCGTCTGGGCGCGAAACCAGAAGGCAGGTTCGAAATCCGAAAGTTTTTGTTCATTTATCTACAAAACTTTACAATTTAAGGTTTCATCTTGAGTGCAGAGACCAGCACTGAATAAAATAATAAATTCTGTAGTTTTATCACTACAGGCGAAGTCTATCGATTCCCGGAGCTGCGGACGGCGGTGAATATGATCATTGCAATATGTATGATGCCAACTGGACCTTGGTGCTGGAGACAATGCTGCCTCCGGACCCAAGTACCAACACAGTACCGTGCCAGAACGGCTGGGAGTTCCTATTCGAGGATATACCGTATTCGACCGTTGTCAACGAGGTGAGAATTTTAAGCTTGTAAATTAACTTGTGTGTAATTTGTCTATATGATTATGGAAGTTATAGCGTAGGGACAAAAACACATTTTTGAGAAATAATGTGTATATATAGTATATAAAGATAATAAAAATGTGTCATGCGAGAAAGAGATTTTGTTTCTTTTCAGCGTGAGTGGGTTTGCGACAAAGCCGGATACGTGCCGTGGTCCCAAGCTATTAACTTCTTGGGCTCTATTTTCGGAGGAATTCTTTGTGGCACCTTAGCTGATAAGTACGGTCGGCTGCCTGTACTAATTTGTGAGTACTCTCTATTACATACGTATTTCAGGGTTTCCCAACTTTTTGTGTGCGTGTTTTCATAGGCTTTGTGTAAATGGGGAGGGAAGGTGATATACATACTCTCACGAACTATAGTTAGGGCTAGATTAACATAGTATGAGATCCTAATTAGTTACCTTTCTCATGTCGTCTTCAATTAGTTGGTCAATGGAAGCTTTGTATTGTTGGTCGGCTACGTAGAATGGAAGTAGGCTTAAATTTATTTTTATTGTTAATAAATAATCAAACTTGATTCTTTTTTTGAGCCGTGATGGCTCAGTGTCCGGGCGTTCGCCTTTTATACACTCAAGCAACCTGAGTTCGATCGCCTGTGCCGGCACCAATGAAATTATTATATTATTATTAGTTTTAAGCGCTGGCTTATCAAGTGCTCCGTGGTAAAAGAAGACATTGTGCGGACACCTGCGTTTTCGAAATAATAACCAAAAAAATGCTTTTGCCCAGCAGTGGGATTCTTTTTTAGTTATAATCAAAATATTATAGTAAAAAACAGCAGCCTAGCGGCCAGTTTGCGTGTAATACATTTAGTTTTTCGGTTTCCTTCTAAAAATGCTGCCTTACATTTGTCATCCTTTCGTGATATGCTCTCAGGGCTATTCAATTATTTTTACACCGTTGACTTTAAAAAATATTTTGTGTGGTACTATTAATGCGGAGGACTAGTGGACTGACTTGTTTGAGTTCTGAATGTTGCAGAAAAAGGGGGCCACATTCAACATTTTTTAATTATTTTATTTAATGATTAAATATGTGAAGTTTTAGACACTTTTATTGGAGCAGAATTTTTCACGACCATACTCAATAATCGTTTCCAAATCCGTGTATTTCAGTGGCAAACTTTCTCGGCTGCTTGGGCGGTGTGGCGACCATCTTCACAAACAACTTCTGGGATTTCTCCGTCTGTCGTTTCATCGTGGGCATGTCTTGCGACAGCTGTTTCTTGATAATTTACATTCTTGGTAACTGTAAATTCCTAGTATTAAGCTTACTAAGCTTAATAAGTTTTACAAGTTTATGCAATTTATACGTTCTCCCAAAATCATCATCGTCACCTGCTGAACATATCCTAAAAAAAGACCTATATAATATGTTCTATGAAAAGCTTTGTGACAGTATTTGGATCATGTTTGATAAGTTGACGGGAAAAATAATTATTACGAAGCAAAATTTCTTCTTCTATATTAATATAAAAGTGACCACCATAAATAAATAGTTTATACCATTGATGATCTTTTAACGGCATCATTGAAAAATGTGAGATGCATTTTTGACACATTTTGCTTTTGGCAAAACGGATAGAGCAATACTTTAATAAGTTATCTAGTCATTTGTCAATGCTCCATGGATTTGATTGAACACGAATTTGAGCCATACACAGTTGTTTTGAATCTAGGTATATTTTGTGTTCATGAGTTTATGCTATCGCTTTATGTTTATTTATCTACGCATAATATTCTCTAGTGAGTAAGTCGTTTCTTAAATAATCAAAATTTCACACTAAATACCTAGACACTAGAAAAACACTATGATCGTCACGCAATATTTTTCCTGTGTAATGGGGATCGAACCACTACGCAAATCGGGACACCATCATCTGATAGCATTCTTTTTTTTAAATTTGTGACAAATTGGCTGGCGGTTTTTATTTTATTTTATTGGGGATAACAAACAGCTACAATATATAATATGAACAGATCTGTTGCGTTGATGTAGTAATAATATTACAGCCCACTACATTATCCACGTATTGAACATACAATATTATTTTAATGGAAGCTACTAGATACGTTACAAAAATAAAAATAAAAAAACAATAACAAATAGCACAAAGATAAAAAAAGGAACACTTCAAGAATACAAAAAATACATACTTATTAAAAAGTATAACTTAACTTATTTAATTTGGAAACTATTTGGTTCTTATACTTAGATTTAGAGCATTCAAATATATCAATATCAACAAAATTGGAGTTATATGACGTTGTATAGGACATCGTAGTCCTGAGTTTGTTCGGCAAGTATTGATGGCAAAGAGAGTGCCCGGGCGAACTATTCGTTTATGGGTAGTACGAGGAACTACATAGCAAATCTTATTTGTTAAATCAATGCAATCAAAATTGTTGTGCACAATACAATATAACACACTAGCTTCTAAATATGTACGTCTTGCCTCAAGTGATAGCAATTTATAGTTGTTTAATAATTGTGAATATGATAAATTGGATTTACGGTTCACCTGATGTTAAGTGATAAACGCCACCCATGGACATTTGCAACACCCGTAGGGTTGCAAATGCGTTGCCACATTTAAATAAAGCGGGCCCCGGCTACCTCACTCACGTCAAGTGTAACACTTCTACTTCACGCCGGTCTTCTGTGAGGTCTTGGTACTTGCCCATTCGTGCAACAACGAAGACTTGCGTGGTCCTACCATTGCTAGTAATATCACTTACTTAATTCCTTTGCTTTTGCCACCAGTTTTGGAGTTCGTGGGCACCCGCCACAGAACTTTCGTGGCGAACATGTCGATCGCGCTTTACTTCGGCGGCGGATGTCTTCTGCTGCCGTGGTTGGCGCTGTGGCTCTCCGATTGGCGGCACCTGATGCTGGCTACCTCGCTGCCGATGCTGGTTGCCGTTCTCACGCCCCTTATTGTACCCGAGAGCGCGAGGTAAAGTTTGTACCGTGTCTAAATGTGTTGCCTGGTTTATAATTCATTAGCGATCCGCTTCGTCTTCGCACGGGTGCAGTGTATTATACATATAAACCTTCCTCTTGAATCACTCTATCTAGTAAAACCGGATCCGGATCCGTTGCCTAGTTTTAAAGATCTAAGCATACATAAGGACAGACAGCGCGACGACTTTGTTTTATACTATGTACTATGTACTGTATGAAACCCGCTTACACCTTGTCCCCACAGAAAATCGGGTAGAGTCACACTACCAATCGAAAAGCACACATCTTTTGCATGTTTTCAAACATAATTACATTTTTTTTTCGTTTCGTTCCTTTGAGCGCGAGGTGCACTTCTTGCCGTGTCTACATGTGTCGTCTGGTTTATAATTGTGACAATTCATATATTCATACATGCTTACAGCTTATTCTCATAGAAAGAGGCGACTCAAGTCGCCTACGATAAATTACACCTCTTTTAAATCTCAAACATACTTACATATCTTTTTTTTGGTTTTGTTCCTGAAAGCTTGTGCACTTCTTGCCGTGTTTAAATTTGTCGTCTGGTTTATAAATGTGACTATTCGTACATGCTTAAACCTTGTTCCTACAGAAAGGTGGGCAGAGTCACACTAGCAATCGAAAAGCACATCTCTTTTTCATCTCACATATAATTATAACAATTGTTACATACGCGTAGCTTTTATCAACTATATATTTGTTATACTAGTTTTCTTCAAAACCGCTCTCAACTGCCCAGTCGACATTTAATTTAATTTATCTTTGTCAGGACTCTATAACAAGTAGTAAATTTAATCTTTGTAAAATATTTTGTGTTTATTTTTGAAAATAACATCAAATATCACAAAGGTATCCTCATGTGTCATGTGTCGTGATATATTATTGTAACGCGGAGTTAGATTAAGTTAATAGTTCAAAAAAGTTTCTAGTGGTCATTATGTAGTCAAAAACTGTTGATGTGGCGCAGAAGCTAGTAAGAAAACGGAAGCAAGAAAGACGTATTGTTGGCTGAAACTGGGACTCAAACCAAACAACTTAGATTCAGTGTTGAACTCTACAGCAAACTACTATAACATCAAAAGGTTTAGTTTTGACTTTGGAATCGAGTTAATAGATTCTTCGTAAATATAACTTATCCCTTTCTTTAATTAAATGTATGAAAATTATTATATAACTAATTACTAATTACCGTCGACACCACCTTGATGGTTGGCGGTCCACCACTGTGCGTTTTCCGCCAAATTCTCTACCACGTAGAACTACTTTGTGGAACGAGTTGTCCCCAGCGGTATTTCCTGCCCGATACTACTTAGGGACCTTCAAGAAGAGAGCCTATTCCTACCTGAAAGGCCGGCAACGCAATTGCGACTCAACCAATGTTGCAAATGTCCATGGGCGGCGGTGATGACTTACCATCAGGTGACCCGCATGCTCGTTTGCCTCCTTTTCCCATAAAAAAAACCTGTAAGAACAAAATGCGACGGCCATCTTTTGGACAATTAGAATGACTGTCTATTTTCAGATGGTTGGTGTCGAAAGGTAGAGTTGACGACGCAGTGAAGCTTTTGAAAAAGTTTGAAAGGATCAACAGATCGAAAATCCCGCAGAAAGTAATGGATGATTTCATAGTACGTGAAATATCTTTTTTATGCTATGCTTTAAATCTTATTATAATTTTTAATGCTATTTATTTATTATCTTATTATGCTATTCTTTGAAAATTTGTGGTAGAATGAGAGCCCGTGACGGCTTAAAATTGTTTTTAGTTAGTAAGGTCATGACGGCCGGACCTTCGTTATTTTATAAAAGCTGGAAGTTAAATGTCCCAACCTGTGTAGGTATAATCAGTAACAAAGATTTATCTATAGTTCATTGTGCTTTTGGCAAGAAACTGATAGTTATACGACTGGTAGCTTTAATATTGCGCCCATAATAATCGTTAAAATATAAAGGGTAATTATTTTTATACTTTCTTTGAGATAAAATTAGAAATTACGTAATATTTCTATTGTATTGTAATTCTACTTACGTTACTTCCTAATCAAAACATGTTTTCTTAGTAGCCGGACGGTCATGATAATTTTAAATCTTTCTAGACAAATCCTAAGTCTGCCGTAGGTGCGAGTATCCTTATGCTTCATTGGGATCTAGTTAGTTGCAAAAGTGATAGATAACTGCGGTAGGGCCTCGCAACAGGGCACTTATGGGCAGGTCCGGCCACGACCACATAGAAGACTGGCGTGGAACAGTTATACTTTTGCGTTTCGTCGAGTTAATAAGGTAACCGGAGCCTACCTTAATCAAAGTTAGCAATTTATCTTCAACAATGTGTTTGTAGCAAATATCCATAGGCAGTGGTCATCACTAAGTATTAGGTGAGCCGCCAGCTCGCTTGCCATCTTACAAAAAAGCCTTTATAGTGATAAGGCTTTCAAATCTTAATGTTTCAACTGATATTGGACCAAGCGAACCCTCCAGCTCGTGGCTATCACCACCAAGGATGATGAAGAGAGCATCTGGTCGCTGCTACGGACGCCGTCGCTCCGCAAAATGGTGGCCATGCTGGTGGTCGCTTTCATGGCGGTGGCCGTCACATTCGACGGCCTCATCCGCATGTCGGAGAACCTGGGGCTCGACTTCTTCCTCACGTTCACCGTCACGGCGGCCGCGGAGATACCGTCCATCGCTCTGCTGGTCGTGTTGCTGGACAGGTTTGTCGCTGTGCTAACTGTTGCTGGACGGTTTGTTTTCCCTGTTGGCCGTTTATGGAGAAAAGGAGGAGGCTCACCTGATAGTAAGTGATTACCGCCGCCCATGAACGCATGACTGTTCCGGATCTGGGTGGGTAACAAGGAGGGTTCACGTCAGCCAGGCCAGTAGGCAAAGCAATAGCCAAAGCCACTTACGACATGATTAATACCCCACTGCGGATTGGTGGACTTCATATATGTTTGAAATAATATTTCTTTTAAAATATGGTCGTAAAGGATTGTGACGATCATTCAACATGGAACAGGTCGAAATTGAACAAAAAAGGTTTGATTATGATTTGATTTTTATAAGCATTTAAGAAGAAAGTTAAAAATTAATGTGTAGATAAAACTGACACAGAACTCTTCACCACCAGGATTTGAACTTGTTCCTTCGGGAATACGCATCCAACAACAATTGGTACAAACAATTTGATTGATTAGCAATTAGGTAAATTATATTTGCATGCTATTTATAAGTGACTATACAAGTAAAACTAAAAATAATTATTATAATTGTACCATCTTAAATTGTACCTTGTGTAATGGCAAATAAATAAATAAATTAAAAAATTAAAAAAAATATTACTGTGCTGCGGCATTCCAGTCTTATATTTCTCCGTTCGCAGGTTCGGAAGGCGGTTGCTCGTGTTTGCTCCGATAATGATATCAGGCGTCATAGCGTTCATTATGACGTTCGTGCCTCGCGGTGAGTGGACGAAGTTTTCTTTATTAAAAAAGTGTATACTGTTGTGTGTGTGACCATCCATTGAAATAAGTCCAATTAGACAGGATTTTCTACTATTTCCTGCCGGGACCGGTCTAAGGCGCTGTATATTCGCCCATTAAGAGCCAGCCCGACTAGGTAATGTAATTTTACGAACTTGATGCAAGTCCAAATAGACACAATTTTCTCACTACATTCCGCCGGGACCGGTCTAAGATGCTGCAGATTCGTCCGTCGACTAGGCAATGTAATTTTCCGAGCTTGATGCAAGTCCAAATAGCCACGATTTTCTCACTATTTCCCGCTCGGACCGGCCTAAGGTGCTGTAGATCCGTCCATTAAGAGACAGCCCGACTAGGCAATGTGATTATCCGTCGCAAGGCGTCGCCACGGTGTCCCTGGCGGTGGTGGCGCGCTTCTTCACGAACATGTCGTACGGCGCGGTGATCCAGTGGACGCCGGAGCTGCTGCCCACCTCGGCGCGAGCTGCGGGCGCATCCCTGGTGCACATCAGCGGCTTCGCGGCGGTCATCTTCTCGCCGTTCATCGTCTACTCGGTGGGGCACTTTTTTCTTATTTGAGAAGGGGACAAAAGAGTTGGCGGCTCACCTGGTGCTAAGTGACAACCGCCTACATCAATGCGTTGCGAAGATTATATAAAGCGGGCCCCGGCAACCTCACTCACCAGGTATCATACCTCCACTTCACGCCGGTCTTCTGCGAGGTCGTGATACTTAGCCGGACGGACTTGCTGCACCGAGCTGAAGCAGCCGACGGCCACGGACAGGCTAAAGAAAACCGCCGACTAATTGTAGCCGATTTAATAAGTGACAAGTTGAAGCGAGCCAGCGCTTGACCTGATGTTAAGTGACGTTGACAATTAACCATCAAGTGCAGACACTAGCATAAAAATAAAAGTAATTATAAATATCAATATCAAAATCGACATCCCTCCACTTTTCAAATATTCAAAGTAAAAAGAGGTACCTAGTTATTTGAGAAATAGTTGTTTGCTGTAAAGGAAGCACACTAGATGGCGCAGAATTTTTGTTGTTTTGTCAGAATGTTCGCAGTTTAAATTATCATAAATAATGACAATAATCATTTCAATTCCATCTATCCCCAATCGGGTGACTCGGCAGTGTATACCATATTGTGTACACGTTGACTATTTATTAAATGCATATGGAAAAAACTAAATGACATCCATGTTCACAAGTTAACATTAACAATATGATTGAGGTGTGCAGGAGGATGATGATGATATTGATAAACATGTCCACTTTCCGCCAGTACGTGTAGTATCCCGGTCAAGCCAGCCCATTGACGCAGGAGCGACTGTTTTACCAATTAAGAACTGTAGGTTTCAAACGTTTTTGCCATCTAAGTGTCCATTACATAAAAACTATCCACAGTAAAGGAGCGCTTATACATTTAGATGCCCTTTCCAGGCACTAATTTTTTTTAATAGATACTGGTCACTTAAATACTAATTAAATCAAAAGCATTATCATAATATCAATCAATATAAATACGTTATTTAACATACTAATGGTTGAAATACGACCATAATTATACATGGTAGTGTTTATTTTTTTTTTATTGATTTAATGTATTTTTTATGCATAATTAAAATAATACATTTTTACCTCGCAATTGTACATATTATCTTAGGATTCTCCTTATTTCTGCTAAGACTATGATGTTATTTGTAATATTTAAACCAGGAATACATTTCTGTTTGGCGGCAGGAGCGTGCTTGGGAGGGTCTGCCGCTGGTGATAGTGGCCGCGGTGGCGCTGGTTGGCGGTTTGGCGGCGCTCCCGTTGCCGGAGACGGCCGGCAGGGGGATGCCCCAGACCATGGACGACTGGCGCGCCCTCGCCGACACCGCGCCCTTCCGGAGGTAAGCTATAATAATAATAATAATTGGGACCGGCCCATCATCACGGACAGGGCGATTGTCGCGAACAAGCCTGACATCGTGGTGATGGACCGGGCACAGTCGCGGGTATTTTTGGTCGACATTACCATTCCATATGACGAGAACCTCGTAAAAGCCGAAACAGATAAGAAGACAAAGTATCTGGACCTGGCTCACGAGGTGACCGACATGTGGGGTGGTGTGCCGACTGAAATTATCCCGACAGTCGTGTCTGCGAATGTGTTAATCCCAGTCAGCCTCTCCGAACATCTGAGGCGACTGGGACTCCGGGACGGAACGCTCCAAGCTCAAATGCAGAAGGCGGTGCTCCTCGATACCGCCCGCATCGTCCGCCGATTTCTCTCCCTCTCACCCTAACCCTCGGCCGTTTGGTCTCCCCTGCCGAGGGCTTCCGTCTGGTTGGGTCCTATTTATTTATGTATTATATATAATATTTATATCTATATGTTTATTTTTATTCATAATATTTATTTTATATATGCAATATATATTTATATGTTTATTTTTTATCTATAAACCCAACCAGACGAGAAAACAAATAAATATCCCCAACATAATAATAATAATCTTTATTTGTCATTGAACTGGGTATTGAGAAATTGAATTTCAAAAATTTTAAATTAAATTTATATGCTTGTCTCTGGTGATGATTTTGCCTCTAGTATTGAGCACTGTGTACGGCTACGTCGGACGGAAGGTTAGGCATTCATGGGCATGTTTTAAGTTAACTGCGGTAGGGCCACGCAACAGTGTTCACTGTTGCGTGGTTGCACGAACCGTCCGGGTAAGTATCACGACCTCGCAGAAGACCGGCGTGAAGTGGAAGTGTTGCACTTAAGCGTTTCGTCTGGTGAGCGAGGTAGCCGTTGCCCACTTTATTTAAAGGTGGCAACGCATTCGCAACTCTACGGGTGTTGCTAATGTCCATGTATGTCATCCCTTAACATCAGATGAACCGCCAGCTCGTTTGCCACATACAAAAAATAGCCCACAATTGGAGCTACCGCTGACGTGTGACATGAATATATTGAAATACTCAGTGAGGTCGGTGTAAAATAAATGAAGACAAGGCAAATAATCAGGGAATGAAGAAGTCACCCAGAGTTTTACTTCTTCATTCCCTATGTGAGTGAGCTCACTCTATTGAAAGGCGGCAATGCATCTGAACCCAACACTACGGGTGTTGCAAATGTTCATGGGCGGCGGTTATCGTTTAACTGTGGTAGGGCCACGCAGCAGCCTCGGCTGTTACACGAATGGGCAGGCTCGTCCGGGTAAGTACACCTCACAGAAGACCGGTCTAAAGTGGAAGTATAATAAATACATTATACATTAGCGTTTCGTCTGGTGAGTGAGATAGCCAGAGCCCAATTTTCAAAAGCTTGTCAAAGCATCTGTAACCCTCGGGTGTAGCAGATATCTATGGGCGGCGGTATTCACTTAACATCAGGTGAAGCGCCCGCCTGCTCGCTTGGCAACTTTTCACATAAAATATCACTTAGCATCAGGTGAACCGCCAGATAGTTTGCCACGTTCTCACATAAAAAAAGACAATAGATAAGTCGTATTAATTAGTGTCGATTACTGGAATTCTCTATTTTGGGGAACCACGTAATTAGGTGACCGCAGCGAATCGATTGTCCGATTTAATTGTGCTTTCGGTAATTACTAGGCGGATGCGAGTTTTTGTTTTCGGTTTTTGCCAACATTTCGCCTTTTTATTAAAGTTTAGGGTTAACTTGCGTGTCCAATTGCAGTATTCACTGCGTCCGTGTGAACAAACGGGAGGATTGATGAATTATTAAGTTTACATTGTCCTGTTAAATTGTCGTAGCTTACAATGCAAACGTAGCAAGCAGTAAAACATCGCTGAAGAGTTTTACTACATCATTTGATATGACATAATCGTAAATTTTGTGCAGCGTACGGCGATGGTTATAAACAATATAGTTTTATTTTCGTATTTACCAGCAAGCTATTTATTTAAGAGTTCAGCCTACAACTTTGGTAATAAATAATAACCGCTTATGTAGGTAGCTACCATCTTGTGTCTGCATTCTGGAAATGAATTGATCGCTCCAGGCTCTTTCAGGTGGAATTTAATATATTGTATACATGTTTGTTATATTTGTCAAATAATGTTTAAAAAAATTGTTCCACGATTTTCTTTCGCCGGTTCTTCACAGGTAGTAGAAATCGATTTTTTTAACACTATTATAAGATTACCATTTCAAAAAAAAAAAAATGGTATAACCGTATTCGATATCGAGTTTATCTATACTATTGTAAACATTAAAAAGCAATATGATTTTTTTATCTAATTGTGCCAGTTTATCGCTTCAAGAGAAAGTGGAGGTTACTAGTAACACCAATTCTCCTTGACAGTTGCTTATGAACGTGCTTTTAAATTATTTTAGGTGCCAAATGGACTCAAAGAATGTCGAGAACGTTTTCTTGTATATAATTTTGCAATTTAGCTCTATCTATATATTTGTAGTGTTTAATTTTTTTCAATATTTTCAATTTGTGATATGTTGTAAAAATATACAACACAAAGTTTTAAATTAATAAATGGCTTTCTTTCAAGATGAACAAGAGTTTTTGCTTTTAAGACATTAATTTAAGACATTAACTGTGGTAGGACCACGCAGCAGCCTCAGCTGTTGCTAGGGAGGTCCGTCCGGGTAAGTACCACGGCCTCACAGAAGACCGGCGTCAAGTGGAAGTATAATACTTTCGCGTTTCGTCTGGTGAGTGAGGTAGCCGGAGCCAAATTTTTAAAAGCTTGTCAACGCATCTGCAACCCTTGGGTGTAGCAGATGTCCATGGGTGGCGGTATTCACTTAACATCAGGTGAACCGCCTGCTCACTTAGCAACTTTTCACATAAAAAAAATTTATGAAGTAAATTAATTACAGAGACAGATTCATTCAGATTAATTTTATAAATGGTTTAAGGACGCTGTTACATTTTTCTACAAATTTCAATGTTTTTCTGATACCATTAAGTGAATCATGAATAACAACTATAAGGCTGTTGTAGTACGAAAAATAAGTTATATTATATTCATCTTTAAAGGTATTACATAAAAATTTATCCCATATGTTCCCTAAAAAATTTTTCCATATATGCGATTTTACCATTGCAATAATTTCTCAAAAGTACGAAAAATGGGGTCTGATTGCGTACCAATATTAGCTAAATTATTACATAATATTATTTGTTGTATGTTTCTAAGGACGCAGAACGAAAGCTGTTTAGCAGGCTACGCCTCGACCGCTAACATTGTTAATTTTCGCCCACAGAAAACGGAACATCGAGGAGAACTCATCGGATACCGCGGAGAACAGATGACATCGATTACATCTGGCAGTTTGTTATTATCTAATAAAAACGTTGGTGGAACTTCAATTTTTTTTTTGATAACTAACTGTCAATTTTTCGACCACCACTTCGTGATGGTAGAATGGAGATGCGGTCGTTCGTTACAAACGATTTCTAAGGTCTGAACTAACTCTCTTGCCTTCTTTTTAATCTTTCAATACCTTCTCGACAGAATGGTTCTGTTCGTTGGGACATCAAATTGTGGCCGAAATGAAAGTCAGACTGTCAAATAATTCGTCGTGTCAAATTTATTTTCTGTACACACAAAAAATCTAACAAGATATGACATTGGTTACAAAATTGAAAATATGTTTATACGTACAAACATAAATCAACACTTATGGCTGTGATATCAATGGATAAAAAGTCTCTATCGCAATCTCACACCTTGCAGATGTAAATATCTACCATGTTCTAATGCACACACATTTCTTTATAGCAACCGTGCGTAATCGCCCACTCCTCAACCTTTGGTATTAAACGTATAGCCTACTCAGTTATGGTGTTATCATGCAACGGACGCATCTGGTGTCAAGGCAAACGGTCCTAGGCGCTAGATTTGCAGTTGGCTCCACTCCAGCGAGGTCTGCGCGCGTTTGAATTTAATTTTAGTTAATGGACGCGCTTGGCGCATCCGTGCACTTCTCGTTTGTTGTTTACAATGCGAAACTTTGATACAGCACTGGTTCTTACGTTTGTTTCATGTACACGCGTGGTGAATTATACAAAATATTCTATTACATTTAATTATATTTTAGGGGTTTAAGGTCCATGTAATACGGCAAAAACAGTTATCTAGCTGGATCTATTTTTCGTTTGAGTCTTTATACTAAATAATAATTTTTATATGAATAGTCTCACATGATGAACCAGACTGGATCACCCCAATTAGTTTACGTGCCAGTATGGTATACGTTCGTCTCCTTAAAAGTTTGCCAATGAATATTAAAGTCCAGAATATTCCTCAAAACCAGGGCCGGATTTAGAGGTCCGGAGGCCTCGGGGAACAAAGGAGTGGCCCTTAGCCTTAAATTATTTTCCAAATATAACGAACAATTTTTTTTAAGTGAGTTTTTCATTAATCAATTTATTGTGAAACCAAGTGCAAATATGAAAGGACAAATTCAGACTAGTAAACAATAGTAAACAACTTTCGTTTACTATTGTTTACTAGTCTGAATTTGATTTTCTCTGTTGTGGTGTCCCGGGGCTGTAGCCCCGGTTGCCCTCCCCTAAATCCGGCCCTGCTCAAGACACTTTCTAAATAAATCTTATGGCTGGTACTTCCTGAACACCAACACACGGCAGTACACTCACGCTGTCTTGTTTCAAAATATTAATCTGCCATATTTTGGTGTACTTATAATATTATATACTTATAATCACTTCAGTAAGCCAGGTCATTAACTCTTTCTGTAACCACTTTTATTTTGTATCAGTTTTGTTTCGTAATTATATATAGTTATATATTATTGAAAAATAAAAGTGATTACATTATGGGCTGAAATATTTTGCATATAACAAAACCAATTTACGAAAAAGGTTTATTTTCCTGTCCTTTTTACTACTCGTCAACCAGATGATTTGTTCTTTTAGTTAACTTGTGTTAAGTTAGATACTCTCCCTGCACTTAAAAATGTTGTTTTGAAAATTCATAGTACTAATGCTATGCGCCAAAGAAGAAATTGAGAGATTTTTTATACTTCTAAGTCCATTTGATGATATAAAATTTATCGTAAGCTCCATTGTTAATCGATTAAGATTTCGATTTGTGTCGACACCATTTCGGCCACTGAAACATTTTAAAAGTCTCTTCTCCTCTTAAAACGTCTTTGATTAAGCCATTTGCGAGCTGGCCTCGAAGTGGGTTATTTCCAGAGATCATTTGCACTAAATCACCTAGCTCTATTTCGATCGAATCATATCTGCGACTTCAAACATAAAAAAACTTTAACTTTACTAAAACGAATAAAGCGATCCAAAACGAACAGCTTATAAACATGCATGACGAATGTTGCCAACCATTATCTACACACTTACCGGTAAAAACATATAAGTATAAACAATTGAAATTTAATGTCCGTTGTATTTCCCTGTAATTCCTGCAACAATACAGCTGCTTGCCTCAAGCGCAGTACGAGGTACTAAAAGTCAGTTTCTAGCATTAGGTCCATCTCCACTGAAGTTGGCAGCTCATCTGCAACCACCTCGTGTCACGGATCTCCATCGGCGGTCCGCGGTGCGACAGCAAGAAGTACCAGGCCCTCACAGAGGACCAGCGTGAAGTATTTTCATATATACTTTCGCGTTTCTTTCGGCGAGTGAGGTAATAGGAGGCTCAAAGTCATAGTAGCCGGACTATGACTTTGAGCCTGCAATATCTCTAGCGTTGTGATTTTACATGGAGTCACTTATTATCAAGTTAACTTCTACAGTTATTATTCCTTTAAAATAAAACAAAAATACCCATTAAGTATAGTTGCCCGTTTTCCACCTTCTGCGAATAAAAAATAGGGCAAAAATAAATAAAAATAGAGTAAATCTCTAAAGACATCATTATAATTTTTAATTATCTTAATGAAAAGCAATGACGGCAAGGATAATTCGCTTTAAACTTTTCGTATTTCATCGTTAATGGTTCAAGCTGGTACAATATGCCGCAGTGCGTCGAAAGTTTTCCGCGGCAATAATCACTGTCCCACGAAGATTTGAAACGCGAACGAGGCTATAAAATTATATGTAAGCGAAATGCTTTAACATTGGTGAATGAAAGCGCGTTTAAAAAACTTTTTGTGACATTTTGATTAAAATTAAAACAGTTGCCGCTAAAATGGTAAGTGGGTACCTCTCTTCATTTTAACTTTTCCAGGAGTTATAGAAAATATCAAAAGTCGGAGATCTAGGGGGTTTAGTTAACAACAACTTTAGTTAAATACGTGTAGGTATATATTAATATACAGTAAATAAAAAAGTATCTATAAAAAGTAAATTCGTAAGAACCTAATGTTTATTTTTATTTTCTTTAATTTATTAGTGGCCGGAAAATTTGTACTCTATCATGGATTGACTTTTTGCTATGAAATGTCAAAATCTCTACCTATATATAGTTTTAAATATGAAAAGCCTTTTTGTACTACTCTTAATTCTTTCGAACGATATCCTATTAATATTATGTATATGATATATATCTACATACAATGCGGACTGCAACTTTATTTCTAGAAAAATAATAAAATAAAGTAATATTTCGACTATAAATATTTTAAATAACTGAAATTAAGTCACAATTCCTTTATTATTATTATTGTCTCTTAAATATAATAGTTATTATTATAAATAATTAATATAAACTAAAATTCAGTTTGTAATAAGGGTAATTTTGAAAAATGTTTCGTTCATTAAAATTGGAATCTATATTTCAATACGTTCATTTGACAAATAGTACAGCCGAAACGAGAGGGAGTTATAATCGGGACCAACGTGAATAACATTTACGCTAAAGACTAGCACTTCTGAATCTACATATTTAAAACGCGCAATCTCAAACTGTTCATAAAGGGTAAACCTTTTCCTCCTAAATGCGAAACTCTCTTAAGTGGGGTCAAGCTCGCGGCAACACATTCTCTCCACGAGCTTTGAGACTGACGAAGTTATATGCAGTCTACGAATAAAAAGAGCAAACGTCAATAATTTAAAAAAAAAACACGTTTTTAATTTTAAAGAAATTAGATTACCACCATCTGTGGACATCCATAATGTGGCTACGGCTGTTTGAGCTGACGCTTGGTTCTAGAACAGTAAAATGACATGCTTTGAATAAATTTAACCCAACAGAATCATCAGAATAGGCGTACAAGCGTAAAAGTCTTCTTGGTATTTACAAAGATTTATGAGAAATGATATGTTTTAATATAAACGATTATAAATGTTTTTTCCGACATCAATATGGTGGCTCTTCTAGGTATATTTTTATTATATTCGAATAGAGGGCCTATTGGTTTACATATACCTTGGTCTTTGTTATCTCTATTTTAGCTATTTGCAATAAAGCATAAATTAATAAATTAAATACATACAAATCCGACTATATGATTAAGAATGTATAATTATTTATCATAAAGTTCGATTTCAATTACACTTTTTTCTTAGAAAAAATAGACTTGTGGGGTGGTCCCAAATAAATGTCATCAAGATCTTATTATGAACTCTAAACGGCAAGATGCCTTTGCAAGTTGAAGTGTGGGATGATTGCTAGCACAACTGGTCAGTTTTTTTTACAGGAATCACTAGAGATATTTGCCAGTTGTAGAAAATAATTAAATAGTAAGCCCTGCTTCGTTTTTAACTTCTGGTTTAGCGATGCGTTCCCATTCTTGAAGTTTGAGAAACCCTGCGATAGGGCATTCACTTGGTTAAGTAAATACTGGATAGACGAGTTAGGACGCCATGTTGCGGGACATTACTTATGTATATATAGAATTGCAATAATTAAGTAAGTTTAGTACAATTATTAAATAATATTGCGATATTCATCTATCATCGTGCGGACCTCACAGAAGACCGGCGTAAATTGGGAGTATAATACTTTCGCGTTTCGTCTGGCTCCAGCCACCTCACTCAGGTGGCTGGAGCCCAATTTTCAAAAAGGTTGTCAACGCATCCGCATACCCTCGGGTGTAGCAGTCGTCCATGGGAGGCGGCATTCACTTAACATCAGGTGAACCACCTGCTCGCTTGGCAACTTTTCACATAAAAAAAGAACCTACATTATATCGAAATAATAACAAAAACAACCTGATTTACTGAAAGAAAAGTAGTCCCGTTTGAAATTTAAGAAATTTTTAGTTGTGCACGAAACATAAAAGTTATATAAATTTGGTTTTATAGATATTTGTTGACACTTTCAACTTGTAAAAACAATTCAAACCAGTGACCGCGACTTCGTCCGCTTGGGATTTAAAATAAAAAAAATTCTAAAAGAAAAGTAGCCTAAGTATCTGATTACATCAGCTATCCGCCCGTGAGAGTCCCGTCCAAATCGGTCTAGCCAGAGATTAGCCGGAACAAACAGACAGACAAAAATTGTAAAAAATGTTAATTTGGTATATGTACCGTGTATACATCCATATGCATTTAGTTTCAAGCGGTTGTGTTATGTTATGTTATATGTATATAATAATCACCGTCTACCGTAATCACCGAATACCTAGAAAAAAAATGTTTTGGTGAAGGAAACAAGCCGGAAAGTAAATAAGGAAAAAAGCGGCAACATAAAATTAATACTAGAGGTATTTGAACAGACAAGCTATGGTAAATAATGATGTCTGATAAATTGTATTGTGTGCTTTGGTGTGCGATAGCCTGGTGGCTGGTGCGTTGACTCCCTCGAGTAGATCGTCACTTCGATCCCCAGAAGGTCACCAATGAGTCAGAGATTATACTTCCATACAACTGTTGTGTCGATTTTAACATGATGTAATGCGAGATGCTGCTTAATTTTAACACTAAATTCAGAAACAACTATCAAACATGAAATAAGTATGCAGATTCAGTCAGATAATAGCTACCGATCAAGCCGAGGTCCGGCCCTCTCGGGCACCCTCGAATCGGAATGCTAAACGGGTATTGAGTGACAGCCTAAGCTGAGGTCCCTATCGGGGGCCCTTGAGCCTAGTCACTCCATGGAGCATCCGCCAAAGCGCCCTAAGTGCTTAGTGGCCTCTCAAACCAGTAATGATAATAAAAGGACTTAGTCCCCGAGCGTCCGGCCACCTCAAGTCCGGCGGATCTGTAAAGGCCCCTAAGGCCAATAGTGCTTTGTCGTTTATTGCTTATATGTAATCAGTGCGATCGATACTGTAATAGTTCGCCGTTGGAAATTACCGCGTGATCACATTACTTGCAATGCTTTATAATGTAACGTTAAATCAAATCTCTCGTCTGTCCACCCTAGTAGTGTAGACTGAGGCAGCCAATGTCGTGCACTGTCAACTTTAATAGTCCAATACCAAACTGCAGGCTTGGTTTCCGATGGTACGAGTCATTAGAAATTCAATGTCTATGCACAGAAAGTAACTTGAAATCAATAATAGTTTAAAAAAAAATAAAAACCACACTTGTAGATAACCAACCCAAAAAGTAGAAAATAATTTTCAATAAATTTAAATGTTATTAACAAAAAAAATATTGTAGAAAAGCAGTGTGCTTGGACCCATTTGAATTATTTTTTTAAAGACAGTATACTGATAAAAGTGGAGTCATAATGGATATATCTTAAAAAAGTACATTTAAAGATTTAAACGAAGTAGAGTATATTACAATTTGAACTTGAATTTGAAAACTAGTGAATCGTACCTACTTGCAAAAACCTGCATTTTGCAAGTTCATTGACCACAAGGTTGAACAAAAAAGCTTGACGCAATTAAACGCGATTCTAAAGTAACGTATAATGGAAATTTTCCAAAAAAATAAGGTCGAGAGCATTGCGTGTTATACAATGTCTACGGAATAATTCGTAAATCTCTTAACAAAATTACGAAAAATGACTGTAAATAGTATGTCGATTTAGTTAGTATAGCTGACAATCGTTATTCATCGGATTTAGTAAAAACCTTTAAACTATCATAAAATAACACTTATATGTAATCAAGGCCCGATCCAGGAGGGGGGGGTCATGGGGGTCATGACCCCCCCCCTGGGCTGGGTCCAGGACCTAGGTGGACCACTAATTAAAATTGTATAACATAATGTTTTTATAAATTTTTTTGCACACATATACAGATTTTATGTAAGTATTTAATTAAAATAATATAATATTTTAACCGACTTCAAAAGGAGGATTTACTAAATTCGATTGGTATATTTTTTTCGATGTATGTACACCGACTACGTTGAGATTTGATCCGATTTCCGTGATTCTTCTTTAATTTGATGCAGAATAGTTGCCATTTGGTCCCATAAAAATTTACCATAGTTTTGCCAAGTAGTTTTATTTTATGAACATTTTTACAATATTTTGATGACTCCGTGGCGCAGTTGGCCAAGATTTTGGCTTCGGCGTCGGGGGTCGTGGGTTCGATTCCCACACGGGACAACTATGTGTGCTGTCCACAGATAGTTGTTTCGCATCTGGATGTTTGTCCTCGTGCAATTTATGTTTGCAAAAACGTCCTTACAATACAGGATAATGTTATCCTAAAGTGAGGGCAATGTTTATCAAAAAAAAAATTGTAATGTTAAATCATCAAATCAAATCTTGCAAATTAAATTTGATCTACTTCCCGGTTACTGGTTGAGCTACAATTTTGTATACATGTGTAAATCGCGACAATCCAATATTTTTGTGACATGGTGCTGATCTGATGATGGATCTGGAAGAAGGCCAAAGGAACTTCGAAATGAAACGACAGAGCCTCATCGCGTTTGGGTACATTTGAATCGTAACAATGAGTAGTTTGTCTTTCATTGGAAACCACGATCTGATGATGGAGCTCCATCTTCACCCGTCCACGGATATATGCATAGGGTTGCGTTTTCTCCTTATAATAAAGTGGGCTCCGGCTAGGTAGCCAGAGCCGGAGCAAAATGCATCTCTTGAGTGAGGTACTCACCAGACAAATCGCAGAAGTACTTTATGCCGATCTATGACGCTATTCTGTGACGTTACTATGACTACTCTGTAATGAAACGACTCAACCTCATCGAGATTCGGTTCGTTTGATTCGTCTTGGCGAGTTCTTAATTTTTAGATGGTTACCAGGGTCTGATCTGATGATGGAGCTGGAAGATAGTCATATGCATTCAGTAAAGAAACGACGCAACCCTATTGCGTCT